ACCCGTCTGTTGCAGACACGTTGTTTTGTATTCTGTATTTTTCCATTTATAATGTTACGTATATAACATATAAAAGGAGAATAATGTTCACAAAGTTATTAATTTTATAAGTTAAATCGTATACTTAAATCTTTTGTTTTTTTATTCTATACTTAAAAATTTACAATATAAGCGAATTATGCAGTCATTTTTTTTTTAATATCTAGTTGATGATATAGACATATATATAGGATATGATATATATGATATAGACATGTTTTTTACAATTCAGATCTGTAATTGATGAAGATCCAGGAATCTCGGTTTTACGAAATTCTTTGAAAACAAAAATGCTCTAATGCTCAGTTTAAAAACCGTTCTAGTTCATATCCTTTTTTATTACGAGTCAAAACTGTTGGGTACAAAATCTATTTTAATTTGTTTTAATCAATACTACCAAACCCATCCCAGCAAACGAGTGTGTAATGCCCTCGCGGTTTTCCATTTATATTTACGACGACCACCGAAGTCAGTTCGCATTCAAATATCATCCTTCACCCCCAGCTCTCACTGTATTTTGATTCCATTACCTAGTGCTATTTGAAAACCGTATATTCTAGTTCTCTTTGAGTATTTTCTCTACCCCACCATCGTTTTCAGAACGGCATGCGATATTTGTTTTTATTGATTTTAGAGTGCCTCGCTCAGCATGGAATTCCTTATATTTGTCTGTATATCCATTCAGCGGTGATATTCGTGGATAATTATGATTTTTTTTTCGACTTGAAAAAAATTACTTAGGGACATATTTCAAATTTTTTTCGTTTGTTTTTCTTATTTTTTTTCGGGAAAGATATTCTGCTGCTTCATAAAGGCCATATTCTAGTTATAGTATCAAATCTACATATTATGTGATAATCAGTTTCATTCTGCTTTAATGACTCAGCAAACCTCAAATTATAGAGGTGATTCTTAATCAGCATTCTTTCGTGTTATACTTCTTGATATCCTTTAGCTCTTGAATCCAGAGTCTCCTCGAAAATCGGTCATCCCGAATCTTCATTCGAAGGAAATATGCACCTACCAGTTCTTAGTGTCTTGGTCTTCAGACTCAATGATATACGAAATGTTATACGTGAAGCAATAACTGAACCGTTGTAACTAAAGTTAAGTCGATTTGGAAACCGTCTTTCTCACGTTGATACACAATTTCACTCAACAAAAGATCTACCGGATGGAAGGATATCCTCAAGAGATAATAGCTATCCTGCTGTCTTCAGACATAAGAGCGAAGGCGACTTAACCATTATTTTTTTCCATTTATACAATTCAAATGTTTAGTAAATAAAAAAAAGAATTTTTTGAAAACTTACATTCATAAATAATAGATAGAATAATTATAATTGTTCTAAATTTCTAGTAGGATTATTTATCTTTAAAAATAATATGGTGGAGATTAAATAAAGACTCCAAAAAGAAAAAAAATCAAAAGCATAAACGGTGTATAATATACACTATGACAAGTAGAACTAGCTATGTATATACAGCTATCGATTTTATTGTATAACAAAATGACTTATTTCATTAAAACAAAACTAATTGTGAAAATATTAGTTACCTTAAATCATTTTTAATTAAGTAATTTTATTTCTTGTAGTTTTGAAATTGAAGTTTTGAAATTTCGTATTTGATTATAACGGTTTATAATATAATGCATATATTTAAAGAAAAATAAACATTCTCCGAAACGTCTATGATGTAAAGGTAAATGATCAATACGCGGAATCAGAAAGAAAGTAATCGCTATTATTTTTAGTATTTTTTTTTTCTGCTTTACCACTTTACATCTCTAGATTGAAGCGGTTTAGTCATAAACCACGATCTAAATAAACGAAGATTATACTGAAGCGTTGTCCACAGTCGCGCTTCAGCTGTCCAACCGTTGCAGGCTTATTTATTTATCAATTATTTTATTATTCTACCAACTTAATATTTTAATATTGGCATTATTCCATTAATTTTTTATCTAAATATGATGTAACTTTCACAATTCTCTATATATTTTTGTATTTTGTCCGCTCTAGCCCTGAAGAAGACATGCATAGTCGGGTCGAAACGTTGGCTTTTGATAAAATAGTTTTGCCACTATTTAGTCTATTTATGACCGCCACCCAGGACCATCTCCTTCCTAAATAACGCATAATTAGTCAACTAATAAGTATTCGAAAATATATAGACTTTTTAAGCGTTATAATTTTTCTTTGTTTATTGTTATAAGGTCGCTGATGATTCAGATGTTTTGCGCCTGCAATATCAAAACAACCAACCATCCCAACGCGTTGTCAATCTTCTGCCGTCCTTAGAATTCCAATTATAGCATGATAATGAATACCCATACCCGTAATAATTCTAATTAAAATAATTACAACGGGGAAGCGAGAATGGCTAGTGGGTAAAATGATCGTTTCAAATACCTATCCAGATTCGGATGGTAGATTCTATAGACGTATGTTAAATATATACCTCAATTCAATCTTCCTGTATTGAATACTTGGTTCATTATCCAGATAAATCAGACGATAGATAAAAACAAAATAAAAATGCCTATATGGACATATTAACAGCTTTATAATTTGAAAAGTGTTTTGAAAATATATACTCTCTGTTGTAGAAAGCTAAAAAGTTCATATCTTAAAATGAATCTTTCCTTAATTAAAAAATCCGAACCATACAAACTTAACAATAAAACCCACCACTATAATTACTGTTAATAATAATAATAATAAGGCTTAGCGAACCCGAAGGTTCGATGCCGACACCACCAATCGCTTGTTACACACCTCACTCCACCGTTCGCCTTCCAAACCCAGTCCCTTCAGATCGGCTTTAATGCAATCTTACCACCTTCGCTTCGGTCTACCCCTCGGACGCTTACCATTCGGCACAGCAAATATTAACCTTTTAGGAATTCTCTCGTTACTAAGCCCAACAACTTTACAAGCCCATTTGATTCGCCGCGATGAAATTACCTCAATTATATTACCCGGATACAGCTCACACAATTCGGCGTTGTGTAACCGTCTGAACTCTCCAGTTAACTCATCCTTCTTCGGTCCGAATATTCTACGCCTACTATAATTACTGTTACAGACCTTAAATAGAAGGTTGCTAATTCTTAGTATTGTTTTAAAAATATACTTCTTCTTTGAATGGGAGCTTTTATAATGGGTTGGAGGAGAGAATTTATTGAAATAATGAATTATAGAATTTTTAATCATATACTAAAATAACATGGCAATTTTGTTACATTATTAATAATTAGCTCTGAACCGTATATTTGGAAATTTTCTACACCAAACAGTTCTAACAAACTCCTCTTTCACTAGCTAACCAAGAGGACTAATGATTCATTCAAACCAATTTGAAACTACAATATTGACTCTAATCAATTACAAGATTTGGATCGGTAAAGGCGTAGACTAACAGTGTAGTTGATGCATGGTAAATATAAGGGCAGAAAGCAGAGAAGGAAAATTGAATTGTCTAACCATTTCCTATTCCTACTAATCTAAGGACCCGTGCTGCCATGATTCCTGGAACCTTTCTAAGAGTTAAATTAACACTATTTACAAAGTGGTATTACCTTAACTATTCTGATGCTTCATCCGTCTATTCATTAGTCAATCGATCCATTTTCTTAAAGCTATAATGGATTCAAATAAAAATAAAATTGAAAAATTTAGAATATCTCATTTGAAATTTGTCTATTTAATTGCAACCAGTGCAATCTACGTAAACCATATACATGCCCCATTAATCTGTATCAGCATTTAATTAATTATATTTGAAGTTCAACGGGAAATTCTTATGGATTTCTATGAAATCATTTAACTAATTTTGTTTTGATTCGGACACATTTTATTAAAACAAGAGAAAAGTTGGTATCAGTAAATTAAAAGCTTAAAGGTAATCTTTCTTCTTGCTACTTCTTGGAAGCGAGTTTATAGTAGAGATCGGCGATAGTCGATAGCCATATCGCTAAAAAAAAAATACAATAATGCCAGCACATTTTTACTATCTTTTAGGAAAACTTTATCAAATTCAATTAAATTCTTGGAAATTATGGAATGATTCAAAGCTAAACTACAGAGGGAAACTGCATTCTACCTCTCCACCAAGGGTGATTTCAGTCAGACAAATAAACAAGGAAACGTAACTAGCCAATACTACGAAGCTAAAAAGAAAAGAAAGATATTAAGCTGAAAGGTTTAAAGTATATTAATAAAAATTAATAAAATTTAAACATTATTGAGTTTTAATTTTTTATTTTTAAATAACGTAAAAAAAACAGTACCATAGTGAGAAGAGCCTTGAACACCTGGTGTGAAAAGGAAATAAGGCAGGAAAGCTTGTTTGGGATAAAGCTCTTAATGGATGCCTTTAGGGTTAAGAGAATTTCCGAGTTTGAATGAAAGCATATTTTAATGTGAATTCAAAAATTTCTATTTTATGTATTTATTTTGCTGTTTTGTGAACATGAATAATAATTTTATTATTTTACCCTTATTATAAAGCTATATCTTTATTGTAGCTTTGGATTCTTTTCTAAATAAAAGGGCTGCTTTATTCATGCATACATTTCTGATACTTGGATATTTGGCTTTAAAATTAAATACAATAAAAATAAAAAACTATATATAAAGATCTACCTTTATTCATTTATACATTTCTGATACAAATAAATTTTGCTTCACAATGAAATAAAATAAAAAACTATGTTAACAGTGCAATCAGTAATGACTGATAGTAGAATTATGATTAAATGAAACATGTTTGAATGTTCCTTAATGGATGCACAAACAATTGATTAAAATTTATTAATTTCAAATTTGTACTAAGAAGAATGTTTTATTAGAAAACTAGGAGAGATTTATGCATACATATTTGACATAAATAAAAGTTTGAAAGTGTTAAAAATAAATCCTATTTAATTTTATTTATTTATTATTATCATTTTTTAGGCTATACATGTTAGCAATCATGATGTACTTGAAGAAGAACAAGTGATTTTGTCCTGTGTCGCACTGGGTTCTGAGCAAATAGAATTCAATTGGTACAAAGATGGATATACTATTGACCTCAGCAAAGGATTTGGGTAAACTATTTTTTTATTATTGTAAAAAAATATATATAACCTGTACTACTACAATCCCAAAAATATATATATTGAATGAAAATTTTCAATTTATGAATTTGTCATAATCTTGATTATCATCTTTAACTGCCAGCACTTTTTCTTACAGTAATATCAAAAGTGTTGCTTGAGTGAATCCCCTTTAAGAAAATTTTGTCTTAAATCAAACAAATTATGAGCTTTTGGTTTTGATTTAAGAACAACATTTTAGTGGAACTATGATATTGATCATTACACTTGGCATTAATAAATAAGAGGAATTTTACAATTTTTTTATTATTTGTTATTTCTATCATACTGTCAGTTTGTTTATTTCAGAGTTTTATGGATGGAAACACTACCTAGAAACTCAAGAGGGGAATATACTTCAGTTCTTGGTATAGAATCAGCCAAGGCTGTAGATGAAGGAGTATATACTTGTCAGGCTTCTGACTGGGGAATCCAAGAGTGTAAATCAATATATCTTGAAGTTCAGGGTCCTCCGGTTGTTCATTTATCACCTATGTCCGTTTCTGTGAATAAGGTTTGTTAAAAAAAAATTTGTATTACATATTTAAGCTATTAAATGCAATAGCCTAAAATCAAAAATTAAAAATTAGAAATAAGTTTTTATAGCATAAATGGTGATTATATAAATTCTCTTCTGTAGTTCATTTTTGTTGTCAAACTGCTGTACCTTCAAGTGAGGGCCATAGTCACAAGCAATTTGTACAAGAATAATGATTTTCAACCAGCAGTCATACCAGAGAATAGTCAGCATCAAATTCCTTTAAAGGTTTTTTTTTTTCCCATTGAAGGTTTATGTTCCCAATATATCAGGAGATCATGTGTTATATCAGGAGATCTTCTTCATTCAAGCCGATAAAATAAAAAATATGATCTTTCCATTGATGGAATTTCAGCCAAATTATTAGCTAAGAATCATATACCTTACTCATCTTTTTGTATAGTGCTAATATTTTTTTACGATAGTAATATTTGTCATCCAAATATTTGTACTTGGAAGTTGTAATTTCTAATCAGAACAGCTATTTTCATACTGAATAAGAATAAACTAAATATTATTCTGTATAAAAAATCTATTTTATTTGTTTATAGAAACTTTTGTTTTATATTTGAATGGAAAGTGGTAATATTTAATCCTATTTTTAGTACTTCTGATGAAATGAAACTATTCAGACATAGCAAAGTATATTAATATAATTAATACAGATAAATTTTATTCATTTGATCCTCAAAAAAATTATATAGAATCTCAGGAATATATTTAAAGTTTGAAAATTACCTAACAGAACTTCAAGAAGAAGGAATAAAAATTTCTTTGCTACAATTAGGAAAAGTATAGACTCAGTTTTATCCAATTAAAACTTTAATTTTTTCTTGATTCTATGTTAAAAATAAGAGCTACTTTTCAAAATAAATACATGTTTGACTTTCAACTTTCTTTCTTTATTTTTTAGGGTGACGATATAGCTTTAACATGTGTCTCTCCAAATCAAAGGGTCTCATATACGTGGACAAGAGATAAAAATCTGTTTGCTCTGACTCCTGGCATTGAGGTTTGGGAAGACCTAAAGCCTTGGGGATCTATTCTACGTATAACTAATATTCAGGTATAGTCATGAAGATGAATTTAACTAATTTTATTCATAAATTGTAATTACTTTAATGTAGCCTAGAGCTATCTTTTATGTTCATAATAACTTCTTATTTATTTTATCAATTTTAAAAATTAGTTGTATTCCACATTTCAGAAAAGTGTTACATACACATGCCACTCTCAGACTAGGTCTGCAACAAGAGAACACAGTATCCGAATCAATTTGCTCACCACTGGCTTCTGTCCAAAGAATGAACAGAGAGGAATCGTGTGGAAACCCACAGCTCCAGGAGCAATAGCGATTGAAGACTGCCCTCCAAGGTATTTCAGCTTTCACTAATTGTTTCGTTCTTTTTTTATTTATATTAATTAAAGTACACACAAAAATGTTTATGTCTATTATAAAATATATGTTCAAGAAAATAATTGATTAAATATTTAGGGCTGTTAAGAGTCTTTGAGACTGATATATGATATTTGAATAGTTATATTGGACAGACTAAAAGGCAAGAAAAAAAATAATTGTTTGTATTTTATTTTTTTTAAATATCCAGCTGTAAGTAAAGAAATTACAGAGCCATCTTCTGATTAACCCATCTGAAAATTTTGTCTCTTAAACATCGTAGGTCCATTGGACTTCCATACAATAGAAGGCAACTAAAACCTAGGATGTCTTATGATCCTACATGTACTTGGCAATATTATGTTTTCACATTTTACAACATTGTTTAAAAATAAATTTACAATATTTTTCTTCTTAAGACATCAAAATTTATTTTCTTAAATGTGATTTAGCTTTTGTACTTTTTCAATTTACCACAATTTTAGGAATAATGGATTGAAAGTTTAAAGTGAAGGGAATATAAATAAATAAAATCCATTCAGAACATTAAATAAAAAGGTATCACTCCCTTCTTTATATTATATATGTATTTTAAAGATGAATTTAAAGCATCACTAACTGAAAGGATCTACATTAATTAAAACATTTTACTACATGTTACTCGAGACTATATGTACTTTTAACTGACAGACATATACACAAATTCAATTTAAAATAACTTAAATACCAAAAGGTGTTATAGGTTCTTACAAAAAATATTTCAATAGGGTTAGTTTATATCTGCCCCTCAAAAGAGAGGGAAATTTCATTAATAGTAAATTTAGGGTTTTTCCCCATTGTGGTAATAAGTCATTAATGATTAAAAGTTTAATAAAGGGAAGCATTGATTGAATTTGAAGTTACATTATAGTTTCAGATTCCCATGTATTTTAGACTGACAAAATGATGCAGTGGTCACAGTGGGTTAATGGAATGTTAGATTACATGTTTTAGTTATAAAAATAATGTCTGTTAATAAAATCATTCCGTTTTTTTTTTTTTTTCAGTTATGTTGGCCAAGCTACAAGATACTGCATGACCTTGAGACCAGGAGAGGCTACTTGGGAGGAGCCAGATTTTTCTAATTGTGTCTCAAACTCTTTGAACCTCATTTTGGCCGATGTACGTAGAAATATAACAAATAAAGAGTCAATATTTTTAAATTTGGTAGCTAGTACTTAATTATAGCACTCTTTTATCTTACTTTCTTATGAATAGTATCTCAATTATCAACTAAAAAAGAATTTATTTTTTAGAAAATAAATAACTGATACAAACTGCTAATTTTCAAATTTAGAATCTGATTATTTTAAATTTGTTTTTGTAGAAAATTACCTGAAACTGATTTTTTTTACATGAGCACTTTTAGTTTCAGGCTATCAGCCGTGGTTACTTGAAAGCACCTTTGTGGTCTGTGCTGTCTCAACTATTTTGGTGGTTTAGTGGCCAAGTGCCTTGCTATCGTGGTGAAGGAGAGCCAGTCCTCAGTTTCTTACAGCAAGTCATAGCATTTGTCAACCTCACATTCACTGCTGAAGAAATCACTAATGTTACCAAAGTCTTCTACGCGAATGTGGATTTGCTACTCTCACAGTCAAACTCTTTTATACATACCAAAGTAAATTCTGTTAAACTGTCATGTATATATTTTAAGATATTCAACCTCTTTTTTTCTGTTTAGTGATTATTTAATTCTGAAATGGTAATCCTCAATTTAGATATCGCATTGCTAAATCTTCATTGTTTCGACTACCTGAACTAAATATCAATTTAAATGAAACATTAGGAACAAATAATGATCATACAAAGTAGATGATGTAATTATAAAATAAGTATCCTCGTACTTTGCAGTAGGCAAATTTGAAACTAATTGCAAAGAAGTTTTCAGCTAATTTAAGAAAACTTCTTAGATAAACTAAGAAGTTCAAGTTGAAAATAACAGTAACTAATTTTCTATTTGTAATTGCTTTTGTTTGTTTTGCTTAATGATTGATATTTAAAACCTTTAACTCATATTCATGAATTTTTTTTCTATTTAATTAGTTTATATAATTAGTAATAATATAATTAGTTTGATTTTTTACAATTTTTACCTTGTGAACAACTAAATAATATGGAATACAACAAAAAATAATATACATTAAAATTTGTATTTTTAATTATCATTGTTACTACTGTAAAAATTTAAATTAAATCTATGTTTATTAAAGTTATAGGTTGTTTATAAAACTAGCTTAAATACATGTTTGTTATATTTTCACTAATCAAAATGTATTTCAAAAAGTGGTATAAACCAGCTATGTGGTCAAGAATGATGAAATCAAAATGTTTGCAGATAAATAAAATAACTCAAATTTGATTTAAACCATAGATAAAATTTATGGATAATGAATGAATAATTATGGGAAAATAAATTATTAATAATCTACTTGGATTAATAACTCTCATCATACAGATACGTTGTTACTAAATCTTAGCCAAAATCATAAACATATTTAACTTGTAATGATAACTCTCTGTTGATCCATCAGAGTATGTTCTGTGTAGACATGTGTATCTCACTATAAACAGAAAGACACTCTAATCCTTTCTTTTATGTTTCAAGTGGCACTAAGTTCTTAGAAGCACTATTAACATTCAAGAATTTTAACAGATCATATAAAGTTTTTACAAAGATTTGTTTGTTGTTGGTCAGCTTCATTGATTTGACAAAGATTAATCATACTAGCGTTAAATATGAGGATAGATTTTTTAAAATTAATTTATGCAATGATAATATATACTTGTGGTGTTAGAAAGTGGGAGAGCTGCAAGCACTGGTAGACCAATGGTCCCTGATGTGGGGAGAACACATGAATTCTACTTCTGGCCACCTGTTTTATAATGAACTGGTTATCGACGCTATCAAGCTAGCCAGTGATATGCAGTATCGTTACTATCTACCCATGCTTCCTAAGTAAGTTTTAATTACAAATAAGTATAAATAATACTTTAATAAATTGGAATTGAATAAATTTTGCATTATTATACATACTGCATTCTTAAATACTGTAATGTTGAATGATAAACTGCTCTCTTAAGGGAGTTAGTGTTTTTATAAAATAAATCCATTTCATATCATTTTTTTTCTGATCGAAATTTTTTGTAAATGTTTAAGATAAATGAACATTTTTTTCACTTTTCAGTTACCCACGTTGGTACTCTGCGAACATTGCCATTGATGTTGTTACGAAGGCAGGAAGCCACATGAATACAATCACTATAGTTAATTACCAGAACATATCAAAATTTTTACCTCCCATTTCTTCACAGATACTTAGGTAAGAAAATTGAAGCCGTATTTACATTTAATCAATCTATTCTTCTTCTTCTTTTTCGATTTTTCTTCAAATTGTTGGTCCAGGATTAAAACTATGAATTGAATGATCTTCCTGAGATCTTCCTTACCTCTGTAGAGCTTGTTTACTTTGATCGGTGTGTGGCCAGATCTGCTTCCTGATGTCATCCAGCTCAAAGTTTTGTGGTCCCCTATTCTGTAACTACAGAGAGTTCTTTTTCTGATGTTGAATATCTTATAAATTTTAGATTTCATTCTATTATTACATGCCATGAGTTGTTATTACCTCAAAAGAACACAACTAGTTCTCTCCTGCTCAGTTTACAGTAGCCACCATCAGGGTCATAATGTGGGTGGACAACATTCCATCTTTGGCATACAACTGCTTTATTTACAAAGATCTGCTGAAAATTACTCTATTAAAATTTCAGCAAAACAACATTTTCCAGAATAACACATGGTTGTTGAGTGATGGTATAATCTGTAATAAAAAATTCTTGAAATTAACTAAACTTATTAAGGTAATATACATAGGTATGCAATATATATGTATAGACTAATAACTTTAGGAAGACCCTTGTGGGTGGAGATTAGGCTGGGATATTATGGTCAAACCATGTGAAATATGGCATCTTGAATTTTATTGTAATATTTTGATTTGTTATACATTCTTTTTTTTTTAGATTCTTCCTACAAGTCTCCAATTTAAAATTCAGCCTATGTGCTTGGTATTTGTCTTCTATCCATATTACTAGTGATTTATCATACTGATTAAACACTGTAATGGCATAATTCAGACAAGTATTTTAAAAAAAAGTTTTTAAATTATTATTGAAGGTTAATTTTGCTCAGTTTGATGTCACCTGACATGTAGTAGAGTTATTTCCATTTCAGTCTTATTACTATTTTTAGTTCTGACTTGGTATTGTAATCATTATTGATCCATTATCACATTCTCTATTTGCATAGTTTGAAAAACATACAATTAAATGGTTTAAATCATTTATTTTTAGAGATGGTACTGAGCTTTTATATGAAATGCAGTCCAATGTTGTGAGCATCTCGACCCATGGAGATATTCAGATCCGTCTTGAGCTGACTCTTCCCGTAACAAGCCACCTGAGAACCAGCTGGAACCTGACTTGCGCTAGGACTGATCTTGTTGGAATGGACTGGGACTTCACTTCATGTCGTATGGTCCTTCGTGCCGGCAACTCTAGTCGCTGTCTCTGTCATAGGCCTGGTTTATACACTACGCTTGTAACGAAACACTCATCTGATGTAAGCTATACATTTTTAATAAATAGTTTTATTATTTAATTCTAATTATATTTGCATATTTTTTTAACTTTCATTTATATATATATATATATAATATATATATGAATATATATATAATATATATATATATATATATATAGTATATTTAATAAATATGAATAAGAATATTATATGCAATCATAAAAATGTAGAATCTTAGTTTTCAATGGAAATACACATTTTGAGGTCCCCTCAAAACCTCCCTTGAGTCCAAATAACCAAATCTTCCAAAATGGTTTGTGTGTGAGCAGTCTAGCTCAAAAACGAAAAGTTTTACTTAAAATTCTCTTAAATGTTTTTTATGATGAACCCAAGGGAACTTCTAATCGAGTATCATTCTCAATTATTTATATTTTTCAACATAATCAATTACTGAGCCTTCTAATACCATTTGGGGATTTAAGTGACATTCTTGCTACATGAAAAAATTAATAACTTTTTATTTCAAAGCTGATAGTTTGAATCCTGGTGCAGCTTCCACTGAATGAATGCTAAAGACTTGCTACGAGTTCAGATTACTATAACATCATCTCATAAGAAACATTTAATGGAGATATCAATAACAGACTTGATTTCATTGATTGCTGTGAGGAACGTCAATAATTCATATTTCATATTTTGAAACAGTTTTTATTGAATTGCTCTTACTTTTGAGTGTAGTTCCTAATGTCGTATTACCTAACCCGTCTCTATTAGTCTTCAAATATCTCATTTCCATGCTTTGAAGGCAGCTTCAATAGTACTAGCAGTCATATTTTTTAAGGTCTAATAACTTCCTAAAATAATGTTTTTAATTTCAAATCTTGCAGACATTTTTAAGTAATTTATCAAAAAGACAAAAAAAACATGTCTAAGCAACAACAAAGTTTCACACAAATGGGTTTTTTTTTAATATTATAAGGCACTGAGTTTGATTCCTGCTTTGGTAAATAAGTTTTTTATTTTGGCATATCTGCTGTGAATTGACCCAGCAATGGTATTCTTAAATTGGGTAAAACTTATGTATTGAGCATGATCATAGCCAAATCACCTTTATGTCCAACCATTGAACCTTCTTGAAGATGCCTCTTGCATTATTGTGGTACATTTTGTTTATACTCACCAACTTAATATTAAGAAGTATCATTTAAGGGTATAATTTTACAACTTGGACATTACTCCAAAAGTAGGATAATTTTTCAATAATGAAAGCAAAACCTAATGGAGTGACAGATTTGGAAATGGGAAACTGAGAGTTTTAATGGGCCTTAACCTCTGCAATATCACATCTCACAGCACCATTTTGAATCTGACCTGGGCAGGTTTAAATTTATTTGGTATTAGACCCATAGAATCAATCTCAACATTCCCAATGTGGTTAAAATAGGTTGATTACCTGTAGAATAACTCTCGCACACACTAGAAATGACCAAATAGTGGGGAGAAAATAAAAGTTTCTCCATTTTATGGTAGCAAGAACTATAGCAAAGTCAATGTACATAAATATATATTTTTCTAAACCTCATTGTTTACCCCTTACAGATAATGAATGTGAATTGTTTATACGTTAACTGGGATCGCATAGGACCATGTGGACATTCATGAAATTAAGAATGGTACCGCAAAGGGTTAATGAGATGTTTCAACAAATTAAAAGAAATAAACAATCAGGTCAATAATTTATTTTCAATTTACATAATAACTTTTGATTGCTTAAAAGCTTTTGTTGTGAATTGGCTTTCATTCTGTCATGGAAACAATCAGAGGTATCCAGAAGGGTGTTTTATGGAGTAACTTGTGCCATAAAAATTAATAAGGGGGGCATCTTATGACGGGGTTTCCAATTTTTGAGAGGGGCACATTTTTCGATGGTGTTACGAATTTTCGAAATGAAAAGTTTCAAATAAAAATAAAAGTGGAATCATGCAACAGACCACATGATATGTAATGGTATATAATCTACGAATATTCAAGTTCTACTTTGGTTTGAACTGTTTTTAAGAAGAAGAGAGGAACAAAATATCTTGGGAGAGGTGACGATGTGCACTTCTGGCAACGATTAAAAACACTTATGTACCTACTCTTATGTGGTTTTTATTATATACTTATAATAATTAATCAATGTCCCTATTTAAATGTATATGAAATAATATTGTAGTAAATGAATTCATCAATGATTATATATTCATTTATTTATTTATTTTTTTTTTTTAGGAGCCTTTAATTTCAAGTCGAAACTTACCATCATCAGTTGTTGCTTTAGGATGTGGTAGCTGCTTGATCTTATCTGGTCTCACCTTATTGTTGATTGGCTTTCGTAAAAACTTACTGCATCTTCTCAAAGCACAGTTTTGTTTATCTGTCTGTATGCTTATGGCCATCTTTGTCTATCTGTCATGCATGGGTCCTCTGTTGGTATGTGATTAATCATTTTCTTAACACATTTACTTATAATTTCATAATTGAGTTTATAGTTCAATTTTAAATTCAAATTCATGAATTCCATTTACAGATTTGTAAATAATTAAAAAGCATTTTGAATTTAGCTGATATTGAAGTTGATTATTGGTGCAGTCATTAATGAGATAATATATAAATAACAAGTATTACTTTTAGATAAAATTATTAATTAATAATTTTTCATCTTCTTATTTTCTTGTTATATTATTTTTCTTACTCTTTTCTTATTGGTTGTTATCTTGTTTTTATTTAGGCTCATAGAAGACCTAAAACTTAGGCCCAAATGTTGGCAACAATAAAATAAGATTTATATTTTTTAACAATGAGAGTAATACCTTCAATCTGAGTCACTACTAGACTTCCTAGGCCTTTCAGTCCTACTGAGTTAAAGATTCAAAAAGTTAAATAAAATTATATACTTCAATATTTAATTTTTTTTCAAATTCTATTATTTTAACTTTTTAAAATTTCTTTTGGACAAGAAAAATAATTTCAAAATTTTAAAAACAAAAAAAAATCCAATTTTTGGTATTGATATATTTATTTATTGTATTACTGCTTTCCACAATAGATTAAAAAAAAATAATTGTATGTTTATTATAAAAATGAATAAATGGTTTGTGTAATTAAGGGATAATTTTAAACACAATTAGTGAGTTTTGGGGTTTTTATCCACAAACAGGATTTGTAACTATGAAATGAACTGGAAGAAAATCTAATCTGCACTTGGTCAAGATCACAGTTATAGCACCTGAGATCTTAAATGGATAAAATGTAACCCTCAGACTATATGGTTGACATCCAGCTGCTGCAAATAACCATTTATTCTTTAACATTGTCGGTTATTTATTTTTATCTAGCATTCTTCATTTATAAGTTTAGCTTCTTTTTTTTAAGAAGTAAACTTTTCCTATAAAGCCTTTGTTCTTCAGCTCGGTACAGATTTGTCTAAAAAATCTAGTTTATTTTTTGTTTTTCATTATCTTCTTCATGCATTAAAAGACAGTACTGTTTATAAAAAAAAATTGTTGGCAGTTTTTTTCACCTAAAATTGTTTTAGAAATTAATACGACATCCATATATTTTTGACTTAATGATAATTTTTTGTTATAGTTTCAGGTAAGTTCGGTCAGATACAGACAAACTTATTCAACCAGTTAGATACAACTATTTAAAAATTTTAGAACTAAGTAGTTTTAGTTTTCCAGCTTGATGTAAAGTTTCTAACAAACCCTTTTGTAATTTTAAAGAACATTTCACATCCCTTAATTCTAAATCAGGAAAGCGTTTTGAATGTTACAGATGATGAATCAATTGTTGGTAATATTACTGGAACTGCTGTTCTTTATTTCAATATCTTCACACCTCGGGATGTTCCTTATCATCTATACAGAAGTAGCATTTATACCTCACTTCAGGAGCACCAAACGAATGGTCTTTGGCCTAACAACAGGTTATTTTGTTTAGAGTATGTGTGAATAATTGCCATCTTTATATATTAACTATATTTGGAAATGATACCTCATAAAATAAGTTTTGAAGAAAAGGATGTACAAATGAAAAAAAATGTATAGCTAAATTATTATTTACCCTCTTTTAAATATTTTACAATAGCTTTTTAAGAATGAGGTTGAGTTTTCCAAAAACAAAACAAAGTTATTGAGGGAGGTTCATTGGTCCCTGGAGAAGAAATAATAGGTAAAACATTGAAATATTTAATGATTGGAAAAAACATACATTTATTATTATTATTTTTCTTTTTTATCTATCAGTTTAAATGTTGAAAAATCATCACAAAGTGTTTTACAATTACAAAATTTGATTTTGGTTCATTTTATTTTTATTTTTAAGTATTTTATTATTATTACTGATTTATTTTTATTGTGAAATTGTACTTGAAATTCAATTAATTTTCTCACATTACAAATTTAAGGCATTTTAAATATTGGGTTACAAATAAGTCCTTTCGGTTTTTCATGGTGAAATAAAACTCAATGTATTATAGACATAAAATTTATTTTAATCTACAATATATTGACCATTATTTAATACGGCTTTCTTCCATCTTTCAACTAAGTGCAAATTCCATGTTCATAGAATGTCTGATGTTTATTGTTAATAAACTGATCCAAGTGGTTTTTGATATTCTATTTCTTTTGGAAGTTCTTTCCATTCATGGAGTTCTGCAGAGACCATAATAAGTGGTATTAACTTGGAGCTAGATCTGATGAATAGGGAGGGTGAGGCAAAAGGTCCCATCCAAGGCTTAATTTCATTTCATGTGAGGTATGAGGCGTGGGCCTTAGCGTTGTCTTGGTGGAACACAACACACTTCCGAACATTCAAAACTCTTCAGGATGTTCTCAAAATTCAATGTTACTATATCTGTAGAAAAGCTGAATTATTGCTTTTCAAAGCCGTATGAATATTTTTTTATTTAATGCTACATAAGGAATAAATAAACAAAAACTCCTTATAGATTTTTATTTTTTATCTCCATTTGTAGTTTGATTACGAAGGTCCTGTTGATGTCGTTTTGTGTAGTTTATGTGGCCCTAAATTTCTGCAAAATCTCTTATTGATAGCGAAAGTCATATTGAAGTTATAACATTTTATAGTGATTTTCGAATAAAAAAATCATGTTAGGGACCCAAACGTTAAGCCTGGAAACATAGCCGAGCCTGGTTTTCTATGCTTTTGTGCGACACATTTAGGGCCATAGCAATCTCTGATTTGGTAGGATTTTGATCAACAATGGCCTTAAAATTGCTCGTTTCAATTTCATGTGGACAAGCAGACCGTCGATCATCATTGATGTCAAAATTTCCTGAATGAAATTTGGAAAACCAATTTCGACATGTGCATTCAGTTCACATCATCCCTGTAAACACTGCAAATTTTTCTATGTGCTTCTGCAGCACACTTACCTTTTTAAAAATAATACAACAAAATATTTCGATAATAAATGGTATTTTCTTCCATATTCACAGACCAATAGCAAACACCATACTAAGTTAAGTTTTAACAAGATTTAATAGATATAGTTGATTGACATATTACAAACAGGACAAACAATCCACCTTAGGGATTAATTCATCAGATAAGAGATATATCATAGTGACATAAAAATAAACAGAAAAACCGAATGAACTTATTTGCCAACCCAATATAATAAAAATCATTTTGAAAGTTTTTAATGATTGATCCTCAGTATGATTTTGAAAATAAGCTACATTACTGCAAAATGTTTTGTTTTATGTGAAAAGCTAGTTATCACAATATTCTCAAGGAAAAATTAAACTGGATACTCAGTAGTTAATATTTTGGTTATTGTTTTAAAGTATTTATTTGAACAACATTTAATTTATACAAACCTTTTATTTTCTGCCTCTCAATTATCTGTGGTCATCTATCTTAATTATAGTTTCTATGGATCATTGACTGGTTGACAAAATTTTCAGGCCATTTGTAAATAAAGTTTCTGATCTTGTCTCTATATGTTTCACTTATTTCTATTAAATGAAGCTAAAAGTTGAAAGCATTTTACTCTATGTTCTAATATGAGTGTCCAGTTTTTTTTTTTTTTTTCTACTTTGAGTGTGTAAGTTCATACCAGAAAAACATTAACTGATTTTTTAAATTATTATATTGTTACACAGGTGCTACAATCCTCCCTTGCTTAATCAGTTGGGTGGCTGATTCGTTTTCGCCAACAAGAAATAATGATTGCTGGTGGCTCCCTATTGGCTCTACATCCTTCTATACAGCTGCAGTCTCCGCTTTATTGATAATTTGTCTTTTCTTGGTGTTGACTGTCAGCCTCTGTAAGAGGCTTAGATATCTCAGAGTCATAAATGGATCAAAGGTGAAGCAGGTTATCAACCTTAGGTAATGCTATAGTTATATATATAATATTTGATGGTTTTCAATTTCAGTTATTATAATTAATTTATGTATAGTTAATAAAACATTGTCTGCAGTCAGTATCACTCAATAAATTAATTATTTCTCTTTCAATTCTCTTCCTTTTTCTTTTATTATCTATGATATTAGTGAATCAGGAAGATATATTCTATTGTAACTAATAAGTACTTAAAGCATATAATGTCAGAAATTTTAGAAAAATTGTTATATTTTCAGGTTAGGACTCATGAAGAGGACCTTAGTTCTGTTCACAACAATCATCTCAGTGGCTATTTCAAGTGTATTATACTCTAACTCTCCAAATGCAGTCAATATGTACATTTTTAGCTCTCTATCTGCATTGATGGTAAGTGGCATTGTATGTGTGACATTGGATTATAACTTGTAAAAACTATGTAAATTCAGAATGATCTGAAAGTAATGTTTTATGATTCTCATATCACTGCTCTGTATTTAATAATTGTAACTTTTAAAAATATTTAAAAAATCAAAACACACATCTAACTCTTATAAAGCGAATATCTGATTCTTCAATGAGTAGTGGAAAATCTTTATTTAATCAAATTTATCATGTCTAGATTTCTAATCATAACACTTCCTTACCTAACAAAAATTCTTCTTTACTAATCACTGAATCCAAGACATGTTTATTCACACAAGTGTCTATCACTTAGTATGTCTATCACTCGTGTTTATATATATATATTTAAAAACATAATATAATTAAATTATTTATTATAATATTTATTTTCTCAGGGATTCCAGACATTTTTCTGTTATATTATCAGCAGTGAGTCTTCACACAGCACGAAATTTTTGAAACAATTAAAGTTTACTTCAAAGGAAAAAGAAATTATATCAGAATCTGATTACAACCTTTTTAATTGTAAGTCTTTACTGTTAATTTCATCTTTTAATGAAAAAAAAAAATGGAAATTATCTATTATTAAGTTATTCTCCTTAATTTATTGCAAAGATATCAATAAAGTCTGATTTTTTATAAATTCGGTATCTACGGAACTTTATATAAAGTTTGATGTAATGACCAATGCTTTTCATACATCTTAAAAAAAATATTAATCGATTTTATTTACAGCAGTTAATAAAATTCATTAAGCTGTAACTGAACATCATATTGTCAGTTTATTGCAAAAATTCATGTAGGACATTTTTTATAGAGCCAAACGTTTAAGTACATTTTTGTGAATTTCAAACTTATTTATTTATTCTAATTCTATTTCTAAATGCTGGTATGCAAGGGAGATTGTGAAAAAATCAAATTTAATCAATAAGTAATCTATTGATCTAAGTATATATAAGTAATCTATTTGTTATCTGAACCGTTACTAATACATATGAAACTCTTTAATGGAGAAAGCTAGAAAGAGTAGGACTGAATGAAAAAACTACTAAGTTACTAATTGCCAAGCAAAAGTTTACAAGGTAATTTCTGAATGAATGTTATGACTTAGCTTCTTGTATAGTGGAGTCCTTAGATATTTCTTCCTGGTGTCTGGTGTCGCTGTCATCTCAAGGTCTGTTCTTGATTTCCTCTTCCTCTGAACCATCATATCTGAGGAAGCCTCTAAGTCTGCTTCGCTCGAATCCTTGCCAGCTTCAACCCTCTACTCCTCTAGACTCACTCCTCCAGAACGGCCCTGTACCTCTGGCTGTCTCCATCTGACTATCTCTAGTCTTGGACTTTTTTAGACTTCTTTCCCCAAGTTGTTTCTCATTGGTTAAAGTTTCCTAGCAGAGGGGATGACCTCGCCTTAAGTCTATACAGCCATTTCACATTGTTTGAAGTTTTTCTGGTTCTTCTCTATAGAAGCATCAGCTATCTGTTTGATCCCAGGTGTATCCTGAAAGGTTATGAACCTTATTTAATGTGCTAATAGAATCCATTAGAGTGTCGATCGAAGACTTTATCTGAGCAGCAGGTTTGGCAGGGTCTGGCCTTGCTTCTCTCTAGGCCTGCCGTGTACCAACCTTCCAGGGTCTTGTTCTGGCTCTTTTATCTACTCTGACCATCCTTATCTTTATTGCACCCATCAGCAGACATTGTAGTGAAAGACTTGTTCCTCTTGTACCCTATCTGAGCTACTGAGTTCTTTATTAAGCTAAGTATATTTATTTATATTAAATCTTTAAATATATTTTAAATCATATGACAGTCTCTATGATCCATAGCAACATATATATATATATATATATATACATTTGTTCATTGAGATTCAGTGAGTTCCTACTAGTGTATAAATATAAATAATTGTTTTTTTTTTAGTTTTCACTAAACAAGAGCCTGAAGTGGAGAGTGAAAGTGCACCTCCGATTGTAAAATCTGAACCAGATATCGCATTGCTTGAATTACCTGAGAAAAGTCTTTCAAAGTCAAAAATGGACTTGTGTACTATTGAATCACCTCATTGTAAGTAAACTATTAAATAACTTTAATTATTAGTTCATTATATTTTTGTTACAACAGAAAAAAATAAATTATTTAACTAATTATGATATTGATATATACTGTTATACATTTAGGCCTCAAAATAAAAATAGGAAATCATAACAAATGTTTTATGTTTGATTCCATCATAGAGATTTATGTTTTAGTATAGACAGAAATTAAATATATATATATATATATATATATATATATATATATATATATATATATATATATATATATATATATATGTAGTCATATTTAGAAAACTAACTCCACTAACAAACCAAGTGTTTTTGAAGATAAAGTATTTCATAAAGTCTTTCACCCCAAGAAAGATGAATTACTGCAGAATTTAAACCGCTACTACTCATAGAATCATGAATCTTCTCCAATATAATAAAATTAATAATATTCCTGTGATTAGTTATTGAGCTAAACGATGATCAGAAAATTAGAATCGAAAACTGTGCTTAATCGATTATAAATAATTCAAACAGTGGAGTGATATATAGATATAAATATTATGTTAGCTGATTTAGCCTATTTTTTTCCTAAGTTTTATTTTTATTGGGAATCACAAATTTCATAGCTTGGGAATCATCAGCTTTTTATTTTTAAGATTCTTAATTATTTTAATAAGTGACTAGAGTTATTGGAAAACAAGGTTTTGAAGTACCTAATTATGACAAAATGAAATATGCACAATAGAAAATGTCCTTTCTAAATGTTAAATATCTAATCAAAATGGGTGATATAACATTATTGATAATAAAAAAATAAAAAAATTGTAATAGCAATAATTTGATTAAAAATTTACCACCCTTTTGAAAATTGGTAGATTGGTTAAAATATACAACTGTTAATTATTAGTATTGCATCATTAATTATTTTTATAGTCATAATTTAGCCGCTAATCAAATCCTTTATAATTTATAGATGAGGAGAAAATAAATGATGTTGAATTGGAAGTTTATCCAACCAGTCCCAAGAAATTCTTCAAGGGAATTTCTGCCAACCCTGCTACTTCAGGGATAGCTATCTTAGATGTTATACCACAGGTCAAGTGTGTTAGTGATCAAAGAGAACCAATAGTGACCAAAGTTGATCTTCCTCAAGATCAGATATTAGATGACGATTTGTCTGAAGTGAGTCCATCTGAAGTACTCAACAGAATATCTCACGATCTAGATTATTTGCTTGATGGAGGCCAATCACCTCCACTGAACAATGCCTCTCCAAGGCATAAATCTGGAAGTGGCTCCCCATCCAGCAACTCCAGTGGTATTGGCAAGACAGCCTTATGAATTTCACCTTAATTTTACTATAGACTAAACATATATACATGCTCAACATTTCAGGGTAACAAACATCATTATTATCCATTTTATATGATTGTCATAACTCGAATTAGGTTTAATTTTAATTAAAGTTGAACCGGTATGTTTCAACCAGTCAATGTTATATTTTTCAATGTATAAATGTACATATGTAAAATGTATATAAAGTGAACTGTTAGAAATACTTTAAAAATAAAAATAACTTTTAAAACTAAGTATTTATGTAATGAAAATTTGTTGAAATTAATATGGAAAGATGAAATTTTCTTTCTTTGTTTTTTAGTTTAGTCTTGTGCTAATCTCTTATAGGAATTTAATTTGTGTTTTCTTCTTAGTAGTGAATATATTGTTTCAACAGAGTTCATTTGTTTTGTATATATATATATATATATATATATATATATATATATATATATATATATATATATATATATATACATTTAATTGTTTTGTATATAGTTAGTTTACTTTAAGTTATTTTTTTTTTTACTTAATTAATGTAACAGATCTTTATGCTAGATGTGATCCTTTTTTTTCTCTGATACAACTTTGTTATTCTTATAAAGTTATTTTTATATCTTATTCTATTCTATCTAGCACAGAATTATTTAGTTTACTGGACTTACAAGTTGTTATTTGTTTCATTAACAGAAAACATTTTAGTTTTACAGTATGTCTGCGTGTTTAATTTTATCATCTGTGCTTTTATATGATTTTTATGTAATTTGCACCTAATTTAATTCAGTCTGCTGATGGACACAAGTTCATTTTTGCTTTGCCAGATTTTATATATTTTTGATTCAGATGATAATGTTGATATGTTCTAAAAGAGTATTTGTCAAAGTATTTTTCATCTGTTAAAAAAAAAAAAAAAATGCTTTGCCATTTCTTAATAGAATAATGGAGACTGTGATTTTCAAAGGATACTAACCATAAGACAATTTTTCTGAAAATTCTTCATCCATTTTCTTTTCTAAATAGAGAAGTTCTTTAAAATCAATTTTTAAAATTTCAATTCTTTTCAAAAGTACTAAGCATACATTTTGTATATACAAATGTACTAAAGCCTTTGTGAAATGAAATTCTATTAATTTTTATCAAAGAATACTCCCCTTTATAAATTCCCTTTTTTGAAATGAGATCCTTATTTTGATATATTTTAGCATTATTGTTAACAACTTGTGTGACATTTCATTTTTTCAGTAGGTACTGGTGACTGTTGATAAGTCATTATGATCTGTGGATAAATTTTATAGTTGTTTTTAAAAACTCATTTGTAATTCCACATATTCAATATTTTTACTTTAACCACATAAATTTCATTTGAATAATACAGAAATAATGGACTATTGGTATTAGAGATATATCAGCTAGTTGATATTTCCCAGAACTGAAACCAGGATTTTTGCCTTAAAGGCCAATTTTAATTTTGCTACTCCTTCTTCCCCTACCAGCACTCCCCCTTCACAAAAATATTAACATTTTATAAAAATAATTTAATTATTATACAGAAAAAATAGCAATGCCTCATAACATTGGATCATTTTATTGACTGAATTATGTAAAAACAACAAAAAAGCAAAATTAACTTTTTTTTGTTTAATATGAAAAAGTGTTACTCGAAATTTGCCACTCTCTGAATTCTGCCCTCTAGGCCAAGTGTCCCTTTTCTCTAATTCTGGCCCTGATATTTGCTGTCTTATACTCCTTCATATAATAGAAGGTAAAAGAAATCTGTCAAAAAGAAGAATTAACTTTGATCCTTCCAAATAGAAAAAAAAATCATTCATTTTTGTCAAAAACAGAAAGTAAAAAAAAAAATTAAAAGCATTCTAAATACTCATTTAAACTACCAATGAAAATATGGAATGAAGAAAAATCATACCAAATTTAACCTTATTTTACAAAACCTATCGGTCTACCCCTACTTTAAAACTACTTTTAAGAATAAATGTGATTTCTATTCTATAAATAAATGAAATATCATTCAGAGAATCATTATTTTATAAGTTTTTATTTTACTAATTGTATTGATAATGTTGACCAAAAATAAAAATCATAATACTTGTGTAGGTGAGCCAACTTCTTTACAAATTATATTCTATCATTTAACCGTAGGAAAGAACATAACCAATGTTCTTATGTTTTTTCAAACATAAGAACATAACCAATATTCTTATGTTTTTTCAAACGGTTCTATAATCTATCTAGTCATAGCCAAAAAGTACAACATTCAGATTTATTAAAAAATTCTAAAGGATATTTTGTATTTTATTTTCAAAGTTTTAGAATTTGGAGTTATCCTTTTTTTTTTTATGTGACATGTCATACATTTTTTTAATACTGTCTAAAAAATTTAAAAGTAAACAATTTTATAATTGTAGTTGTTTCACTATTATTCTTAATGTTACAGAAACTGGTGTATGAAAATTTTGCATAAAACATAATAATTTTCTTTTCTTTTTTTGTTTAAGAATTTTCCATATATTAAAAAATATAACTGAGTTGTGTAATTTTGTGAGTTGTGTATATTTAATGTAATTGTGAGTTGTGTAAAATATTCATCGTTATTTTTTATTCTGTTGATTTTTTTTTTATTTTCCTTTCATTTACTTTTTATTTTGGGAAACAATTGGATATTTGAACAAAGTATAGTGTAGTCTCTTAGATTTCGAAATATTGAGAGTCGACTGTACTGTTAATTTCTCCCACTTCAATCCATTTGGGCTCTATGTGACAATTTCTCCAATTACCAAGTAATCTCAAAGAGATTTCAGGGTTCTGAAAACACAATATTTAATTTGGACTAGAACTAGTAATATCTCAACCCTTTTAGAGCCAAAAATGCAGCAGTTGCATTCAGCAGGAAATGTCCTCACTGCGGTCAGGATCACAATAATTGTGATTACTACTTTGTACATAAAAGCTTTCCGCACCATCATCTGATTTGTTGTTTTTCTTAAAATTGACAGAATGGTTTAGTAACCTTTTATTCTTTGAATTACAAAAGTTACCTGCAGGATAAAAAATGTAATAACTGCCTTTCTATGCCATGCTTAAAAAAATATAAATTATTTTAAATTTTGTTGTATAAAGTGTTGTGATGATTTTCAGGACTATTTAACATCCCAATACATTTGTACACCATTCCGTCTTATAGTATTCATAATTTTATTGTCATTGTCTTGGTTTTAACACTCTTTGCTCTTTGCTATAATTTGCTAAATGTTTGAGGCCATATAGGCAGAAATGCACTGACTACTTTCATGTGACAAGAATTCCATTACTCAGCTTTAAATATTTGATTTTTGCTATTATTATTTTTTGATGGCTAAAAAACACCCAAAACAATTAACCTACATTTTTAGGTTTTGTAATATTTTGAAAAAGCATCTTTCTTAAGTGTTTTTTATTTAATATGAATATTTGACTATTAAACTATAATTTATTTTACAATTTAAATGTATTAGAATCCTATTATTGTCATCTTGTCAATCTTTTAAGTGTAAAAATATCAATAACTGATCATGAATGACAATTTATTAGTTTAGTAGTTTTAATTTGACGTAGTATGTAATGTACATAATCTGGAAAGGATTGTAAGGGCAATTTGCCTTCAAAGAGACGATTGTCACATTGAAAAACAAAAGTAGAAAAAGATAATGTTTTTGACACAAATTACAGTGGATGATATCATTGTTTATACAATAAAGTGCCTTATCGTTTTATTAATAAATATTGTAATTTTATCAGTGTGATAGTGTTTTTAACTTTGAAAATTTTAATTTATATCATGAACAAGATATTGTAAATATGTAATGCTTATAAGTTGTTTGTTGATTTTCAAATTTTTGATAAATTTGTGATGTAATATATGTATATGTTAACTTATATGTAATTTAATTTCTAATCACCTTTATATTAGTTTTCTCATATAATGTGATATTTCTCAAGAAAGCTTTCTTTCTTAAGACCATATGACCTCTCATAAATTCCTTTTAAACTTCATTATTTTTATATACAAGGTAGGCTGGAAGAAACAGTGAAATAGGGAGGAAAATAACTGATGATTTGAAGGAATTATTCTTTAAATATGATGAAATTATAAAAAAACTGAATTCTCTCTATTTTGAGGGTAAGTATTCTTAAAATAAAAATACTATAATGAAGAGTACAAGAAATAATCATGATAATCACCATTTAGGAGACAAATTGGATTGTGTGTCCAATGTGGTCAGATGTGGGGGAGAAGGGGAGAGGAAGCAAAGGAGGCACTTATCCTAGACAGCAACATTTAGGCGGAAGCAAGTTTTGAATGAAGTTGTATTTAAAGTAAATAACATTCGATTTTTTATTGTTTAGACCATAATTCAGTCAATTAAATGAGTTAATGTTATGATATGATATATATTTTTTAATGATTTGATATATATTTATATTCAAATATATTATCTAAAATACTGATATTAAAGTGTTAAATTTTATTTTAAAGGGGAGGGAGCGAAAGAATGGCATGCAAAACTAAGCTCCTCAAAAAAAAAAATTTAGTACCCACTCTGGGATATATAGAATATATTTTTGGAATTTTCGTTGTGGAAAATGACTTTATTATTTCTTAATTAACAAATGTGTTACACATTTTATTGATGTAAATAATTTGTAAAGTGTAAATAAATATAACAATAAAAGTGACAACAGTGGTTCAGACCAATGAATAGATTAGGCAAGCTTGGATCTGTTCAATTATGGTGTCCATTAGAATAACATTGGGTCTCGCCTTTTTATGTTTTAATACCTCTCAATCCCTTATCAATTTTTCAATCTAAGAGTCTCATAAAGAATAATTTGGAAAAGTTAAAATAAATCAAATGGTGACTTTGAAGCTGTAAAGTTTGAAATTGGTATGGGAAACGTTTCAATTTATCTTGGGAATAGTTAAATTTGACTTGGGAAAAATTGCATATGACTTGAAATGCCATAATTTAACCTTATATCAGAGAAATCGGAAAAGTTACATTGAATCGATAAGTGACGGTGTATTGATAAAATCAATGGTCCCCATCTCCACTCCCTCTCCAAGGTCAATGGCACATGGACATTTTTATTAGAGCTTTTAAGTGGACTGAACTACGTTAAGTTCTGTATGTACCCACTTTTAGAAAATCTCCTTATTAAATAATAAATAAACTTTAAACACATATAAATTAATTTCACATTTGAAGCAGAATAGTTGAGCATCACCTAATGGCATACGCAGATTTCATATTAGGGGCAGGGCAAGACTGAATTAAGGAAAATCTCCGGTTGATAAATAATTTCAAACTATAAAATATTATGCTAAGTAGCATATAGTCATTACAAATGTTAAACATTTTTATATAAAAGACAATATATACATAGAACAAAAAATTTCTAAAATTATTTACATTATTTTTCTTAGATTTTTGGCAAATCTTTTTACATCCACTTCTTTCAGGGGGAAGCAATGGCCTCTTCCAGCCCTCCCTCCCCTCCCCAGCATACGTACATGGCTTCACCTCCTATTGTGTCTAAAATTAACATAATGTGAAAATCACTGTCCTCAAAATATATTAATCTAAAATAATTACATCAAATTATTAAAAAGATTTTATTTATTTATTTTTTCATTGCCTGAGTTGTACATTGATAAATTAATTACGAAAATATACTTTTTATTTTTAAAAATATGTGAAAAAATTATCATTCACAGTGATGTCACACCAATATTTTTTATATGGATCTCAATTATGGAATCGATTCTTATATTGTTAAATGACCAACTAAATGTTTTTACCAACTAAACATGTGTATATTCTTTAAGAAAATTTAGTTGATCACTTAATAATATAACAATCAACAACATGATTTTCTTAGACAAGAATAGGAAAACAATATTTTGTTCCTTATACACAAGAAATGCATCAAATGGAAATTATAAGCCATTTGTAATCTTTCTTCAGTAACATACAAGGAAGTTAGAGTAACATATTTTAGAATATCGTATATAAGAAGAGGAAGCTGGTTTTAGCCCTGGAAGATTGACCCTGATCACATTTTCTTTATGTAAATAATCGTAGAAAAAGAATGGGAACATTGCAAGGAAATCTAACTGTGATCTTTTCATCTGAGATTTCTAGCTTTTAATTCAGAATATCTTTTGATTGTTTTCATTGTTTTAAAGAATGATGGGGCATAATCTAGCAGGTGTAATTAAATCTATTTACCAAGATTCTATTGTAAGAATCAATGGTAAAACATCACAATCTTTCCACTTATATAAATGAGTAAAGTTTAAAGGCTGGCTTGTTGAACAAAGTTCTGATGAAAACATTGTATAGTTTACATGCAAATATCATATAGCATAAAAAATATAACACAAATTTATATCTTCATTCTTCGTGAGTTAGTAATTGTAATGCTTTCTTTTACTACTATCCAAATGTTAATTATTCCTCTTATAATTTATTCGTTGATTTTCATTTCTTGGAAAGGCTTTCACTATTATCGGTTCTGCTGATTTTAATATAATACCATAGTCAAGAGTTATTGAAGTAGTGACAGGTTCAAGCCAGCACTGGCGGACTACTGTCGACATGATAGTCTTCATTTCCATCATTGCGTACTTCTGACCTACGAAAACAATCAAGATTATTAAAAAAAAATATTTGATTTGTCAAAGATTAAATGTTAAATTTATAGCATTACCTATACAACTTCTTGGACCGGCAGAAAATGGTATAAATGAAAATGGATTAATTACATTTCCCGGCGCAAATCTTTCGGGAATGAACTCCTCTGGATTATCCCAATGCTTTTTGGATCGATGGATAGAAAAAGAAACGACTACAAAATGATGACCTGCTGGAATGATAGTGTTTTCATCTACAAAAATTAATAACAAGTAAATTTTAATGTCGTTAATAATTCATTTATTTAATTATTTTAGAAGGTTATTATATGTTTACCAATTTGTAGATCTTCCTCTAATAATCTACTTTGAAATGGTACTATTGGGTATAATCTCAATGTTTCTTTGATTACCATCTCCAGGTAAATCATCTTCTGAAGGTCTTGGCCCGTTGGAATTCTTTTATCATTCCCGAATATTTCCATCTGTTCATCATATAATTTTTCCTAAATATAAATTATTTCCTGTTTGATTAATGTAAATATTTCTGTAGTACTGATTATATAAATTAAAATCATAGTAATTTATCAAAAATAACTGTGCACATTTATTCCTGAATTATGTATCGGAATTTTTGATGTTTTATAAATTACATACGAGTCCTTGTTATATAAAAAAAGCTACACTAGAACAGAAATTCTCCTCAATATGCTAAATTTAAGAGTACTGATGCTTTTCTAATGTTTAGATAAATTGAATTTGAAAAGTAGAAAATATCTCGAGTGTCCACTCATTGAACTTTCCACACTGCTTTGGGCACCATGCCCAATACAAAAAATATTTGCTGTATCTTTGCAAATATTATGCTGATTATATTGAATACTTAATAGTTTACCGTTGCATTATAAAGGAAGGAGATGGTCCGGGGTGGCGGTCATAAATAGGCTAAATAGTGGCAAAACTGTTTTATTAAATGCCAAAGTTTCGACCCGACTTTGCAGGTCTTGTTCAGGGAGGTGTGTTCAGCTAGGAGTTTCTCTTAGAACTGAGTGAAACTCCTTTAGTTCTAAGTGAAACTCCTAGCTGAACACACCTCCCTGAACAAGACCTGCAAAGTCGGGTCGAAACGTTGGCCTTTAATAAAATAGTTTTGCCACTATTTAGCATATTTATGACTGCCACCCCAGACCATCTCCTTTCATTAGACTGATTAATATTTATTATAAATTTTATAGTATATAAGGGTATATAAGATTAAATAAAATGCATTTATGATATTGTCAACTTATTTCTTTAAAGACCCTAGAGTAAGATTAATATTGTAATATACAACTTATTGGTAAGTTTGTATAAATGGTTTAGTAAATTAATATTGAACAGTTAAAAGGCTAGCAAATCTAATTCTGCTAATGTGAAGGGATGTTTGAGTTTGAAAAATAGTTTCACTACTTGAGGAAAATGAAAATGGTTGCTTGGGAATGAACAAAGGAATTCAGTTGTTGCTTGACTATATGGACAGTTGTTTGGCTGGACTGAAAAGGGGATCTGAGAAGGGTTCCTGGCTCTAGTGGGTAAATACAATAAAGTAATAGTCTTACCATAATAGCAAAATAATTGCAGTGTTACCAATGAAGATAGAGTTATTATAAAGATTAGCTTGCCAGTTTAATTTGACTTTAGTGACAAATGAAAATAGTGTCATGTGTAAACAGTTTTTAGTTTTTCTGAGAGTTTTATCTGATTGTCAGTAACACATATACTGAGAAAAAAATAGTTGTAATTTAATCTTACAATATCAAAAGTTTTAAATTTTGTTGTTTTCATTAATAACTGGATTTATTGTTTTGAGAATTTTCACTATAATACTGAAGTGATCTTCGAAGAGTATATTATTATTAAAGATGGGACATTGTAATTTATAATATAAGATCAATTTTATTATTCTGAAATTATTATTCATTACATTTGTTATTACAATTACATAATCTGTAGAGGAGGGTTCAAAGAGGATTTGATTTTATAGAAACAAAAATAAGATCATATACAGATTTTGATATCGATAGCCTTACTTCAAAAACCTGTAATTACAATTTTATTAATCAGTGCGGTTTTGAGGTTTTCTGCTTTATCTTGGCATATTCAGAAATAAAATCCAAAAACTTTATTTAAAACTTGACACCTTTGTTTAAAGCATGTAATAAAAAATTAATGAATAGATCATAAAATAAAAAAAATAAGCAGTTTTGTTTCATGATTAATTTTAGTGTTTGCACTAACTTTATAGTATATCTAAATGGCTATAAATATATTACATCTGTGAATTAGCTAAATCTCTAAGTTTGATGAAGTAATACAAACCTGAACGTCTGGGTGGTTGGCAAGGGCAAAATGTAAAAACTTCAGAGTTGCTGCAGATGGATTATGACCCTGCAATGTGGTCTATATCAGTTTTCAAGTTTAATCAGATTTTATACTTATAACTGTATGATTTTTGTTTTCCAAAATTAAATCTAACGGTTATTTTCTTGTTGATTTAAATTTCAAATTCATAAAGAAAACTGTACTCAATGAAATATAATATTATTTGAAATAAAAACAGCTATCATTGGAAACAATTGTTGACTGATTATTAATCAATTAAGAATAAAACAACAACAGATATGTGATTTTCAATTTTGAAAGTTATTACATTCACATCAGGACAGTGAAAAATGATTTTTAAAAAATCACTAATTTTTATTTTATGGAAGGAGGAAGAAGCAGAGAGAGAAAAGTAAAATAAAATCTATTTTTCTCTTATTTTTCAACTAGATAAAAACTGAGCACATATAAAATTTTATACCAATACATTTATAAATGGCTATAAAATTCTTATGAATTTATAATTCTTTACAGTTATTAAGTAATATCAATTTTGAAAAGTAAGAATTTCATAAATTATTATAATACTAAAATCCAGTTACCGCAATCATAAAAGTGCTAACTTCTTCTTCGATATCAGACTCTGTGAATAAACCAGGATTTGAATCATCCAATTCAAGTAAATTGTCCAGGAAAGCATTTTTGTCTGTAAAATAAACATGATGTAAAAAAAAGAGTAAGAACAATAAAAAAATAATGGCATACAAATAATTAATCTTTAGTGTATTGTAGTCTTAGGTGACAATAGTGTAAACAATAGTAATAGCTCACTAAATTGAAAAATACTCATAGAAAGTAGTTCTTTTTACCAATCTTTAACTTACTTTTCACTGAACAGTCTTGAACATCTTGAAAATGCGAACATTTAAAAATACTTCAAATGTGTTACATACCGTGGAGTGGAAGTGTAACTCTTATCCCTTATCTCTTAACAGAATAAAAGATATCCAAGAAAGTTCAGCTGAATCTGGAGTCAATCTTTTTCTTCACAATTATGTCTGATCAAAAAATGGAGTAACCAATGAGGAAACCACTGGCCCAAGGATGAAACAGAAAAATTGAAAGGGAAGAGAAGATAAAAAGCCCAAACACCTCAATAGAGCCAGCTTATCAGAAATCCATAGTTAAACAGATTCATTTCGCACCCAGGAAGAAGAAAAAATAGAAATTTATCACATTCTAAATTAAATTAACCAACTAATAATATTGAGCCCTGAAATTTGGCTTACTCTCCCTAATTTAATATCATCTTATTATAAAATACAGAATTTCACAAGCTTATAACCAACCATTCATTTACCTACAGTCAACCCATTGACTCATCCATAAACCAGCACATACAGTAATAGACACTCTGTCTCTCAGCAAACCAAAGGTCACAGAACATTTACTTTTACCTTTTTTTGTCGAACCCTGATTGTTAGATCCAGTTTTTTCAGCAATAAATAATTCTTTTCTGTTTCTTATAACCTGAAAATTATAATATTATCTGAGAACAGAAAATTCAAAATTTGATATAAATAAAACTTGATTGGAAGATGGGTCTGTATATAAATATGGATAGTTTCATACAGTACCAGCCTTGCATACAGGGCAACCAGGACAATGGCCCTAGGGCGCTAACCTGGATGGGCACTATTTGGGGCGCCTGCCGATCTTCAGGGGCGCTCCCATATGTTAGAAATTAAAGAGAAAATACAAAACGTATTAAAATAATTAATGTTAGCCTATCAATAAAGCAATTGTGTTACAGAAATACCGAATGATATAAATTGAAGTAACACATAATATAAAACATCTTAAGAAATAAATTTAATTTTTAAGGGATATGACGTCATTGCTCGGGGGCGCCGAATATCTAAGGCCGGCACTGGTTACATAAATGTTATAATAATAAAACTAGTTTAAGGTTTTAGGTTTTTCGACCAGAAAAAAATGAGCGTATTCGGCAAAAATGTGTATTTCCAAAATTCTTGTTAGTTTTTTTGGCGATCCTATCCGGATATAAGTTTAGTCCAAAATCTTAAGTAACCAAGTAAGCGATCAAAACAATTTTTTATTTCTTCAATTTGTTTTTTTCTATTATGAGAGTACTAAACTCCCCTTCCTAACCAACAAAATTAAGAAAAAGCTCAGGAAACCTAAAATTTCAATGCCTCCATACCAGTCCAGTCATTTTGTAATTTGAACAAGAATAAAATTGCAAGAATTTTTCTCGACTGCTCTAAATGTTTTTTGGAGTGCTGAGTCTAAAAAATCCAGTTATCTACTATATTCGAATATGGCTTCACCTTTAAAATGGCAAAAAATAAAATTTCGGAAATTGTTACAGAAAAATCGCTGAATCAGAAAAAAAACCAGATACAATTTCGTGAAAAAAAACTATAACCAGCTCGCTATCTTTTATTGTTTGGCCGCTAGAAAGAAATCTAATTTTCTTCGATTTCTAATATTTTTTGGGATGCTGAATCTGAATGTGATGTTCCTGAACAAAATTTTACATTTCGTTCTGAGATATATGCAAAGAACTGCGAAATTCTAGAACTTTTTTTATTTTTTGGACATGACTTCAAAACTATCCTTTTTATCGAAATTAATATTATATACGAAGTTAAAGAAGAAAAAAATTACTATCAATTTTATAAGAAGATTTTTTATGTAGGGCCAACGGGTGAGGAGTTAGAGCGTGTTGACCATTTGCTAATTTCACAAGATATATCCTCCTAAAACTCACAATCTATGGGTCTATCTAAGAAATTTACTATAGCCAATTCGAAAGACCATTAAATTTCCTTTGTGCCTCATTTAGACAAGTTAATATGTGAGACGGTTAAGCGGCTGTTAAAGCGCACAAATTCAAAGGCGTATTTTACTCGTAGTATCTGCCACACTCAACTTGAGTGCTTTTGATTCGGCTGATTTAACTATGTTTATAACAGAACTAGTATGTATAAAAAAATCACATGGCTTTTATTTTATATGTTCTGTTGGCATGACATCAAAATCCATGACAATAAATGGTGGTGAGAACTCGTCTCGCAGGTGGGCAATGTGTTCCATTTTCAAACCTCTTACTACCTTGAGATTGAATAAGAAGCTTGGGCTACCACCAAGGCAGTCGAAGTCTTTGGTCGAAGCTTTTGGCGTTTGAGCGGAGGATCCTCAGGAAAATTTTTGGGCCTGTTGAAGAGAAGAATGTAGTAGAAGAAAATATCGAGAACTTCAGGCGCTCTACAAAGAGTTGCACATGGTTTCCACTCGTACACAAAATATTTGTCATATATTGTTACAAAATAACATAGAGACCCGTTTGCCTCAGCAGTCTGTCCCTCAGTGCATCAAGGTGGTGCAGTTCACCATGACATGCTCAGCCGTCGGGGACATAGGGAATCTATGTCTTTTACAAAGCTATGCATCTTAGCGCGGAATCCTCTGTGTTGTGAGCAACTGTGACATTCATCAGTCAAGGAACCCATTTCGCTTCCTAGCGGTTTCTAACAGTGGATGAATATTTCGTAGTTGTCATCTACTAACGGATCCAATATTGACTAATATTTTCCGGATGATCTTCCATTTCCTCAGCAATTCTTACACAGATATTTTCCGAAAGACCAGTTGTGCTTTTATATGACATTATTTTTAGTCCTTTTAAACATTTTTTCAATGAATCCTCTCGCGGAATAAGAACGAAAAGTACCTCTCCTGCCAAGACCAGCAAAGTAGTGCATGTATCGTATACATTGTGAGACAAGTGGGCAAATGTGTTCCAATTTGTCAACATCTGAAGGCTACCTTGAGGTTATTTTGATATACGAGTGGGAGTGTCAAGATTTATTTTCCAGGGTCACCAAGAAATGAATATTAATCGACCCAGATAGGAATCTAACACATTATGTTGGGGATTGTGTACTCTTGGACAATGCTTTAATGACATCGGCCGTCAGGTCTTCTGAACTTCAACCTAACTTAAATTGTGTTTTATAAATGTTGGAAAGCAGAACAAAAATGTTTACCTGAGTTGCAAAGTCGTGAATAATATCTACACTTCTGAAAAATGTTTTACCAGCATTAGAACGGCGATAAATAAAATCAGGATACAGCCAAAGCTTGAAAAATCTATATACCGCACCGTCATGACAACTGAAAACAAAATAAAATTACAATTACTTATGAATGATAGGAATTAATTTTACTACATTTCTGGCTTACCGCTTTTCTAAGGTAGGTATGGGATTCCAGAAACCACGTTTATTTATACTTAATGTATTAAATATTTATACTTGTATTTCTATCTATCGGTTCCAGAAGGGTACTACTTTACTTAAAAATCTATGCATTAGATATTTCAAAGCTAAATTCCACAGACCCCCTGCTGTATTGTCCTAAATTGAAGTTTCATTTCTATTGGTTCTTTTTCTAAAGGTATCATGTTTACAATTTACTATTGGTGACTATACTATAGTCGCCATCTCTTTTCTCTCACAGATATTAAGAAGTCCACTCGCCATTAGAAGACAGTGCTCCGACATGCCACAAAGGTCTAGGACTAACCTAACTGAGTAACTTGAATCGAAGGCTATTAAAATCTTTAAATATATTTTAATTCTAGCCTCTACGATACATAACATAGCATTTTATATATGTGGACTTTCAAAAACAATATTTCAAATTAAACATGATTTGAATCTACGTATGCCTTAACCACATCTACGCATCAATATCGTGAAATTACGAATAATTATTAGTTACGTATTGGTAATTTCATTATTTTTTAATTATTGAAGTGTTATTTTATTTAAAAATAGGTCGATTAGGTAGATTAAATTTTTTTTTTCTCATGATCAAAACATAGAAATAATGTTTCATGTAATTTTTTGGTTTGTATTTCTGCATGTATCCGAGACTAAGATTGACCATAAAATCTTAACACCAGATCTTCGAATAAAATTATAATTAAATAATTTGTAGCGTAGTTGTCGTTATATTGGATATTTCACGTAAATCGAAAATAACTTTTTATTGAACAAATGTCTAATTTATTACAAATGTGTTACAAACTCTCGAAGACATTGATATATATACATATATTCATATATTCCGCTGTGGTGAAACTTTAAACATTTCGATTATCTTTTAATTCTGAAGTAATCATCAACGTGGACCTTTTGGTATCACAAACTGATACTGTTGTAAAGAAGAAGTTCTCTTTTTCCGTCATCAACTTCCAGAAAGGCGTGCCTTACTCCACCTCGCCTAGGAATTAAAGTTATCACTGAACAAGCTTTCTATTTTTTTATTTCATAATTTTGGGCTACTAAATAGTCAATGATGTTGCTCAAGGTTATCTCTGTTCAATATTTTTAACAATAAACTATGGATTTATCTTGTTTAATTTATGACATTGTACTTTATATGAACTTTTAATGGCATTTTCAATTTTGAGTTGGATGAGTTACATTATAAAAGGGGCTCCTAAACTAAGACACACCAAAAGACAGAAAATCATGGATAAAAATATTTGTTTAACTCATTTAATGGGGAATTGTTATTATTATTATGGGATGTATTAATTACAAAAATAATGCGCAGGATATACAATTAATAATAGTAATAAACGATGGTTAAGATAGTTTTTTAATTGAATCAAATGGTAATTGTAACTTCAATAGAAAGGTGAAAAATTTGTTCTGACCTTATATGTTCCTATCGGGACAAACACTTAATACTAACAAATGTAATATGTCCAGGTAGTGGTAATACACCCAATTATCTGATTACTAGAAGTTGTATGGTATAAGGTTAACTACTGAAATATAAAATTAACTACTATTCTATACTCATAGCAATGAAATTTAAATTTTAAACCTTACAGTTTTGAAGCTTTTACGTATTCATTTTGTTGCCTATCTTCAGTGTTCAGTTTCACACCCATCGCAGTTTCTGAAATACAATTTAGTGTTTAGTAAATTCCCTAACATTGATTTAATTATAATATTGTAATAAATAATTAAATTTATTCAAATAACACTATACTGGTTGAAATACCTCGGCCCTACAATAACCTCAATAAATGACTAACGGTCAGAAATAGACAGATGTAAAAGGTGCTTTCTTTTTCCTTTCAAGGTATTGAAATTCTGAAAAAATTATTAATTATCAAATTAAGGGTTTAAATTACTGTAACTATTATTTTATTACACCTCTGCTTAAAATGAAATAAAGAACTGATACAGAAACTGGTAAATGAATATCTCATGATATGAAGGCAAGGAGGTTATGATGGGCGGAACATGCATATCGGAGTAATCCTTCAAGAACCCTCTACACAAGAATGCCTTAATAGTTGCCAAGAAACCTATAGTGGGACGCCTATCAACTAAAATTCTGAATAACTGCATGCAGAGGAAGCAAATAGTTAGGCTATTAGGTTTATTTCATGGTTAAGCAAAGAAAGTGAAGTTTGGTTGAGGCGGCCAAAGATCTAGAAGGCCTGCAAAACTAAATTAAAAATTGTATATACACATTTTTTTTTTCACCATCAACTCCAAGTTTTCAGTTTTCTAGTATATCTTTTTGTTTAACCTTATCCAGTATTATTTTACTATCATTCTGGAACAATATAATTTTCTATCTTCCTTCAGTATCTTCTCTATGAATACATTTATAAATTATATGGGTAAATGACAAGAATGGATCCGTTAAGAATGAACAATCGGGTCTTTGAAAGAATGCTCAACCTGAAAACATGAGGAAAATACACCCCAAAAAACCAAAAGAAGAACTCTTTAGTATAGTAAGGCATAAAACAACCAACGATGATTTCATCAAAAGAGACAAAATCAGAAAATAGATAGATTGATGAAGATCCATGCGGAGGAGAAGAGGAGGAAGAAAGTGAACGTATGAGTGGGAAGCATTCTATTTCGAAAAGATGAAGATATGGAGGAAGGACGTAAGAAAGCCAAATATATATGTATATATAAGATTTATTAATATATATAAATTATATTAATTCTATTATAATATTTAGCCGCTTAAGTTGATCGCTTAGTTACGGAATCGACTTAATCCGTAACAAATAATTATAATATCAATATTAATTTAACTATTATTTTAATATTTGTTAAATATGTCAATTGGTAAATCGTGTATTTTTTTGACAATTCTCATAACTCAAAAGATAAAAGGACATAGCTATCCCTAGATAGCCAGAACAAGCTATCTCTGATAACTTAGAAGTAATTATCTAGAAAGTACCGACTGGACACAAAACCCATTATAAAGACTTAGGGAATAATAACAGATTTCACGAAAAAGTCTCTTTCTCACAGACTTCAAATCCATAGTAAAGATAAGGATATCAATTTTAAATAATCAATAACTCCTTTCCCACGCTTCCTAGACCTCCCAGAATTGCTTCCCCTCCTACTATTCCTGGGTATATTAGCCCCATGGTCCTCTAGACTAATCACTCTTGCAGTTACATTCTTGAAGTCACACTCTTACAGATCTGGAGTGAAATCTTGTAGTCAACCCATATATTTATAGGATATTTTTGTATATTAGATGTTTTAGATGCCTGTATGTTAGATGAACGTTAAATCCTCACTGCCTCCGATACGTTGACTGGTTGATAATTTTGGAGAAGATAATAAATAAATAATTGACGAAAAACAAACAATATTTTAAATTTTGAATTATCTTACCACATATTATTTTAAGAGTTAACAAGTAAATCATATCTTCGATTTCAGTAGGTTTCCCTTCAGAGTTAAGTAAATTAGAAACATATTCCTCTGCATACCTAGCTACACTTTCTATTGATCGTTTCAGTATCTTAAAGTGAAAACTAGGTTCTAATATTTTTCTGCGTGTACGCCACTTTTCACCTGTTAAAAAAAATAGTTATGTAATTATAATGATAACTACTATCCTATACTAGGTAATATATGAAGTGAAGGATTATGGTGGAATGGGCTAATTTTAACCTTGTTATTTTGTTTAATTAGAGTTTTAATGTTCCATGTTATACCTATTTTTTTTGGTGTTTTTTTTTATACGTAAAAGGAAGATTTTGTTTCTACGAGAGTCTTCGTAAGACCTAACTAATGAGGAGATATGGTAAGAATTTATGGGAGATATCATTTTCCACAGCGGAGTGGACTCTATTCAGGGCTCAATATCTACCTCTGGATGTGAGGGTGATCTTGAAATATGGTAAAGAATGTGGGTCTATTCGTTTCGTTCTCAATAAAATAGGCTGTGCTCGATTTGCAAAAGTTATCAGACTTTTGTCTCATCGGTTCTATATCAGTATAAAACAAAGAATTGATGGCGAGTTCAGGTAGTAGGTATTATTTCTGTTCTAAAAACCTTCCAATCACGTCAGATTCATTTTATTTCTTGTGGAGTTGAGTACTAAAAGAATTTTCTTTTTTCAATATAGTAAGTAGTTTTCATTGCTAAACTATTATTTAATAACTATCGTTTTATTATATTAGTATTTATAGTTATTGAACTTTTTACAATAATAAAAATACCTGACGCACTGGCGCACATTAGGACGAGTAAGGGAAAACTCGCAACATTTGTTAAAATAAATTAATCTTTTTTGTAACTTCAAAACTTGATAAACTGCGTTATTGATACCTTTTGGAGTTTTCGGGAGTATTTCAGTCGATAGAATATACATTTTTCACTGCTTTTATTCAACAATTCAATCAAAATATAGAATTATTTTGTGGAATTTTTCTGATTTTGTATAATTGCTTGGTTTGGTAGTTTTTTTCAGATCTCCGCTGTATAACGATCGACTAAAGGCGGCTAATTGAAGTGTTTTTGCATATGGATTAAAATATCTCAGAAACTAAAAATCACACTTGGATACTAAAAGCGAAGGAAATGTTCAGCATTCCATTATCTTTATAATGAGCTATAATTTATAACTTATATTTCATGTTATTAATCTCGCTTTGTTAATGTTTTCACTTCTATCGTATGGTATAAGCACAAACCTTATTTTTTTTATTTATTTTTCGATTACTTTGAAAATTCCTATTTGAGAGTTTTCCAGGTACAAATTACCAATCTCAATTTGGTATCTACTAAAAAAAAAAAAAAAAAAAAAAAATGAAACTACTCCTTTGGTCGATACAAATTGTTTCATTTCAATGTTTTGCGTGTATTATAGCCATATTTCAAACACAAATTAGTCACAAAAGAGCTCTTTTAAAAAAATTAAAGCGAAGAAAATGTAAAAAAAAAAAAATCAATAAAAATATGTTATCGGACATGATTCTTTTTGAGTTATATGCAGGTAAAATTCTGAATCCATCTTTACTTTTTTTTCAGCCTCGTTTCGAGGAAGTATGATGTATACATAAATTAAATGGGATTCAAGGAGAAGACTTTAGCTAAGTCTCATAAAATAGTTGCAGCCATTTATGCGCTATAGCCTAAAGCAAGAGACGTTTTTCGGGCGCCGTCGAAGCAAAAGGGTGGATGGTAATGAAATGTATACAAACATTCTTAAATAAACAGTATATAAACATTCTTGAATCGCAACGTTGTATCGAAATTTAAAAGTAATCGGTTTAGAACTTAAGGAGATTAGCAGTTCTGAACAAATAAAATTTTTATTTATGTACAGTGTTTACAATTTTTTGTTTATTGATTACATTAAAGCTCATCAATTTCTAAACAGAAAAATAAAAAAGAAGATTGGTTGTGAAACAGGGGAGAAAAAGAGACTGAACTCTTTTGCCTTTGCCTATTTATACAATAATATATAAAAACAAGAAAATTCGCATGAAAATGTTTGTGGCATATGTGTTGAGTTTCCTTAAACAAACTAGAAATTTGTCGTTTATGTAGTAGTTTATGACGTATACAACAGATAAATCCTGGATGGTGAATATATTTTACATAAATAAGTGAATAACGGTGTTAGATTACTGAAAGTCTTAAGATTTTGATGAGAACGTCTTACATATATAATTGTCCATAAAGTTATTATATAAATGGAATTTTAAGTTTACTACTGACCCTCAGAAATTATAACTCCATCGCGGAACATGGGTTTGAAGAATGACCATTCGAAACGTCCTTTAGTAATATTTGTATGGCTGGTTAGTATTGGCTAAAAAAAAGTATTAGAATAGAATAAGTATTTTTAATGATTCATTACTAAATTATATAGCTAATTTTATAAATCTAAACTTATATTAATTAAATTCAAATAGGAATGGTTATTTGAAATAGAAGATTATAAAATATAGCTGGAAATTATATGAAAATGAAAAATGTATTTTTTTTTTTTTTTTATAGGATAATTATATTGACAAAAATCTTTTTGACGAATCAAAATTTTTTATACTATATTTTCGTCGTTCACCAAAATCAGTAAATCAATACAAATGTTTTATTTTATTGTCTACGACAGACCTGGGCAACAATTGGTTTTCTTACCAACTGTTAGGTAAAGTATGTGTTCTCCCAGATATTAGTTGTGAAAAAAAAATGTAAAATATAGTACTGACAGAAAAGCACACACACTAAATGGAAACAACAATTTGAAATTGTAATAAATGCATCATAACGCTCTGAGGATGTGAAAACAGTCCCGAAAAGTAAGCGTGTGTGAAAAATATACCAATTACATTTAGCAAGATCAATTTTCTTTGCCAACCTCATAATTTTTTTTTAATATTTTACTTCCAAAAATGTAAACTACTAAAAGGTATTCTATTTTGTAATTGGTAATTGGTTGACTGTCGTGGATAATGAAGAGAAGAATAGTTGGGGTGCTCAGTCAAAAAGGAAGGCAAAAAATAAATTATAATATTTATTTTTATATGTAAAAAATAAATATTATAATTTATTTTTTGCCTTCCTTTTTGACTCAGCACCCCAACTATTCTTCTCTTCATTTCGTATTCTATTTTGTATTTAAAAATATTATATTTTAAATATGACCCAGGTCAGATTAAACAACCCTACTTGTTTCCATCAGTGAAATAGTACCCACGCTTGCATTAAATAACACAACTACAAAAAGCTAGTACTTAATTTGATTCAATGGACTAATAACGCATCTAGCACAGGAAGATTCTTGGAAAATGCTTGTATTTGTTGGAGATTTTGAAACCTGTCCTGTCAGCATTTAATTATTTTTCGTACGATGTCTAAGTAACGACTTCTCGTACGCAGCGCATATATCAAAACAACATTCTACTGAAAATTCGAAATTTTTGATGAAAGTTTTATTAATCTGCTTTACTGAAAGAGAGATATTGATGGATTGTAGTTGATTATCGAGAAAACTGTACATGATACAGACTGTTAGAACTCGGATGGTTCGCTACTAAACGAGAATGCTCGGGTTTAAACAGGATCGATGGAAGAGCCACTTCAAAAATCGTACTTGAACATCGAACAGACACTTCAACGAAAATAAGGCGTAGGGAAGTCAAGAAGAAGAGTTTAATTTTAGTCAAATATTTGAAGATGGACAAGATCTCCACAAAGAAAAGGAATCGTATGAAAATAGATCAACTATTTACTGTTTTAAGTTCTATTCTCCGACTCTTTTCTTCATTTATATTAGATAGATAAATGGAAAGTAAACTTTATTCCGGGACGAGGTCTCTTATGAAAAACAGATATGATCAAAAAAAATAAAAACTACATCTGACCAAAAATTACATTAGTCAATATTAAAGAATATATACAGTATCTTCAGTAAAATTATATTAAAGCAAGTAGAAATAACACCATTTTGAAAAAAAAAAACAATAAAAAAAACATTATTTAAATGAAAATAAAATAAGCATGGGTTGATTTAAAATTAAAACGCAATCAATTTTAACTACCATTCACCTCAGTCAAAATCTGTTTCGCATAATTTATTTCATTGTATAACGTCATTTTGGGATGTGAGAAGGAATTGGTAAAGACGGTATTCAAAGGAGGACAAAGAAGAAGCATGGCGGATATCTGATGGCAAGGAATTCCAGAAGGCAGTGGATCGGGTAATAAAGGAATATTCAAATGTCTTAGTTCTATGGGAAGGGATATAATGGTCGGAAACACGGGATCTTGTTTTCTGGGAGTGAACCATTTGTTTAAACTGTAGGAGACTGTTAATGTAGGAAGGGTGTCGGCTGTTGATCGTTTGGAATAGGAAAGATCCAAGATAATATTGTCTGCGGAAAGAAGGGAAGAGCCACTTTAACTCGCCGTAAAGGTGGGACACTTGAGACCGCCTCGATGTACCGAAGACAAATCTTAAGCAGGTAGTATTAGGGACCTTTCTGACGCAGTCACTTATATGTTGACGATTTTCAAATTTATTATCGTTCCGAACTTATGAGATGCCTGAGGTTACCGCAAAAAAGCAAGCGAATATTGACTGTTTCCCCTGATGGGCAGAAAAAAATGAACTGAAGCTAAACGTAGATAAAGCTAAGACAATCCTCATCGGTTCCAGGCACCTCATTAGTTCCCTTCCTTTTCCTCCTATAATGTACAAAAAACATTCATGTATTGATTAATTATTATTCTATGCAAAGGCTGCAATTATTAATAGTGATATTACAGTGAAACCTTACCTTGACAAGTTCTGCTTCTGACCCAAATACGTAGTTCATGCCAAATATTTGCAGTTCAAAAATATTACCATAGTAGTTTACAAAATATTTTAAAAAAGGAATGATATCTAGAACATACAATGGTAAAAATTAATAAAATATATGCTATAAATTAATTTGAACGACTGATTTTGTTACTTGTCTTCATCTGATTATCGAAAGATGTATTCATCATTACTTTACAGATACTTGAATTATTTCAGACAAATGGTGTGATAAATAAATGAAATTAAAGTTTTGAAAATGATTTTATAAAATCAACAAAATTATAAAGATTAAGACGAATTGAAAATGAAGTTGCGTATCAAAAAATTTGGCTGGAGTACTTTAGTCCAGTAACCTTGAAAAAAATAAATAAACCTTCTACCACCACTTGATGCAACTTAGACCCATCTTTCCACGACAAGGTTACGGAACTAAGTAAAGTACGAAGTATAATATAAAAATTATATAAACTAAATACAATTTTGAAAATGGTTGATCGGACATATACTCTATTTTTAACAATTATAGCCTAATAAAATAATAATTTACGAGTAATATCCAATAGTTTATAAATAATAGTTTCCATTATGGTTTTTATTTATTTAATTTATTTTTATATTTATGTAGATTTGTTATTATTTATTTGTTTATACAGGGTGTCCCGTAAGTAGAAGGAAATTTTTAAATAGGTGATATTAGACATCAAGAACTATAAAAAAAAGTTTATATAATCAACGGCGCGATTTCCAGAGAAAAAAAAAATTTGAAGATTTAAGTTTTGTGTTTTTAGAAAAACTTCCTCGTTTAATTAACTTTAATTCCATATTAATTAAGTTAAGGTTTAGTAGAAGGAAGCTTGAGATTCACCACATATTTTATAGAAAAGTGATATTTGATATCCTGTCACCTCGAAGTACCTGCATTTCCACTAAATACTACTGCAATAAATTGTTGTAAAGATTTTATTTATTATTTTACTATGGTATGGGGTCTATTGTAATAATATACATAATTGCCTGAATACACTTTTTGTTTATAAAAAAAAAATGACGATTTTTCGAATATTTATCATCAAAAGTGATAATAAAACTGTGTTTTTTATAAAGATTTCTATTATAGAAGCTGATCCGTATTTACAAATGACCTACTAAATGTTTATAATCCTAATATTTACATTTTCATGAAAATGAATGAAGCAACCAGCAGGTTTCTTTATTTAAACGTAAATTTTAGGCCTAAAAAAAATTCATTTCGTCACTCGTAAAATACGGATCAATTCTTGTAATAGATATCTTACAATTAGTAAAAAAAACACATTTTTATTACTTTGGATGATGGATGAATAATCTAAAAATAATTATTTTTTATATATATTTTTTAGAAAAAACGCTTATAAATAAATATATATATATATTAATTTTTATGTACAACATTGTTATTCTTAAGGGACTTTGCCCCAGAATAAAGTTAATTCTTATATATATATATATATTGAATGATAAATTCCTTAATAACTTTACCTTTGAAGTATTTACTAAAAATATTTCACATATTTTTTTTGGAGGGCTTAGATATTCAATCATCTCATCTTGAGATATTAAATTAGATTGTAATTTAACTATATAACTTTTCCATTTCATTTTAATTATTTTAATTGTAATGAGTCAATTGTTATGTCTTAAGTGGTGTACTACCATTCAATTTATTAATAGATTAATTTATTAAAATTAATTTATAAATGCTTTAACATTGCATACAGATGCAGTTTGCCATATGAACTCTACATAAATACTAATAGCTCATTATATTAAATTAAAATTTTAAAAAACAAAATTGCCAATTGTTTTAATTATTTTCATGAAAACGTAAATATTTGAAATGGGAAATTGTTATCAATTTTGATGATAATTTTTGAAATAAAACTTTTTCTATTATTGATGGGAAGTTTTTTTTTTGTTTTTTTTTTTCGTAAATACATGATTACAATACATCGCAAGTTTAAAAAATAAAAAAAATAAATCATTGTTGAAATGTAACGGTATGAATGCAATCTCTGAACTCTATTATAAGTGTCCTTAAACTGTGACAAATTGTAATATTTCTGAATAAAGTGTTTTAAATATAAAATATAAAAAATTGTTGAAATGATTGTCGAATGAGGGTGCGTGCTTTGTAGATGTGTATATATATATATATATATATATATATATATATATATATATATATGATATATATATATATATATATATATATATATATATATATATATATATATATATATATATAAATATATATATATATATATATACATACATCTACAAAGCACCCACGTTTTTAAACACGTTTTTAAAAAATTCATTTAATATAATATTGTATTTTTTGCATATTCTTCTAGCAATATATATATATGTATGCACTTTAATTTTCATTATCGTTTATTTGCTTCAGAGTGCCACTTTATTTGTATTATTATTTTTTCAATAGACCGAGCCATCATAACTCACGTTCAGGTGTCATAAATATGTTTCCATCACAAATAGTTGATCATGGATTCATTGCTGAATATGGGAAACTCGAGTGACGATTGTAAAAAAGAATTGCGAAGATTAGTAGGATATTTTTTCTTAATTTTAATAATAATTTAAAATAAGCGCGAAGGGATCGCAACCAATTTTATTTGGAAACACTTCTTGGCTTCAGCAGGAGGTTCAGAAATTATCCTTATTTCCTAAAAGACCAAGTCTTAATTTATTCCAGCATGGACTAAGTACCTCACGTGGTAGCCCACTAACATCGTTAGAGAAATCATCCCAAAAAAACGAAAAAGAGGTGGGAAAAAGTGCTTTTAGAAAGTTGGACATTTGCTGAACTATGTATAATATACATATTACCAGTATTCGAGTGTAATATGTTTCATTTTGTAAAATGTTCTTTTTATTGTTTTTTTTATAATTATATTTCAAAAGTTAGTGTTTTTAAAACTAACTGGTTTTTCTGAAAACTTTCGTATGTTAATATTTTCCTGATGACTTTCTCACTAATAAGGTTAGAGTTCATTCAATTAAATATTATATTATTATCTGCAACAATGCTATCAGACGGAGTTCCGTATGATACAATCGGTTGTTTGGCTCGGAAACATAGAAATTAAGTTTAAAATGACGGTTTTGGGGAAAAAACATATTATCCGACTATTTTGGTTAGGAGTATAGAATATATTCTTGGATTCTTGATTTTTTTGCCAAAGCTTTTGACTCCTTAGACCACTCTGTACTCTACACTAAATTAAAATATCTGTCTTTCTCCAACAGCTCTTCTTTGGTTTCAGTCTTTCCTTTCCGACCGGACCCAAGCAGTTAGAATTTCGAACAAACTCATATCTTCCTTTCTTAGGCTGTCCTCTTGAGTGGCTCAGGCTTCGAGCATTTCCTCTCTCATTTTTGATTCCTATATAAATAATCTTCCTAAATCCATCTACCACTGTGTACTCCATTTGTACGCTTATGACTCCCAAATCTATTTATCCTTTCACCCTTCTGAGCTATTAGTCAGTACTCAGGCAGACGTAAATAGGATCAGTGCCTGGGCAAGTCTGAATAATTTAAAGCTAAACGCGATGTAAACTCAAGCCAATGTTATTGGTTCCAGTTCTCTTCTTAAATGAATCTCCTTCTTTCGCCTATATTCATCAACGATCATTCCATCACATTCAGTTCATCCGTTAAAAACCTAGAAATCGCCATTGACAAAAACATTCCCTGGAAAATCCATATAGCTCTCATCTCCCGAAAGTAAATAGGTACTCTTTAGTTATTTCATCGCTCTCATCACCTACTCCCAAAACTCATCACCAAGCTCCTTGTATCCTTTCTTATTTCACCCCTCTGTGACTGTGGCTGTTTTTGAGGCATCCCGATGATACTCCAGGATAGATTGAAGCGACTTATGAACGAACTCCTTCTTAAGATTTGTCTTCTGTACTTCGTGGTGTTACAACTTAACAACGAGTTACAACTATTCTCTTCTTCCCGCCGACAATATTTCCTTTGATCTTAAGTACTCCAAACGATCAACACTCGACACCATTCCTACATCTACAATCTCCTGCAGTTCAAAATTGTAGTCCATTTCAAGAAAACAAGATGCCGTGTATCTGACATAAATACCCCTTCCCACAGAACTAAGTCATTTGAATATTCCTTTATTGCCCGATCCACTGCCTTCTGGAATTCCTTGTCATCTTCCTATCCGCCATGCCTCTTCCATGTCCTCATTCAAATATCATCTCTACCAATTCCTTCTCACACCTCAAAATGTCTCTGTACAATGAAATAAATATTATGAATCAAATTTTTGATTGAAATGAATTGTTGTTGAATCGTTTGAGTTTTAATTTTAAGAATAAACTCATATTATTTATAACATTTTATTGTTTTTTTCCTGATTTCTGTTTTTATTTTTATTTCAATAATGTTTCTTTTTTTTTTTCAAAATGTTACTACTTTTTTTTACATATATATTCACTGAAGATATTGCAAATATTATTTTAGTTTTGATTAATGTAATTTTTGACCAGATGTGGTTTTTGTTTTTTGTTTATAATTGTTATTCTTAAGGAACTTTGTCCCAGAGTAAAGTTTGTTTTATATATATATATATATATATATATATATATATATATATATATATATATATATATATATATATATATATATATATATATACGGAGGCTGTGGTATCCGTGCGGTCTAAGGCACTTGCAATATGTACCCGATTTAAGCAGCACCGAGCGTAGTTAGCACTTCCATGGGTTACCACCCGATTTGGGTGACCGTCCACCAGGGAAAATCACGCTGCTCGAGACCCCCCTGGGTATGTGAGGCCCGTCTGCCTACTGGAGTGTAAATCGGGAGTAAATCGGGTGGTCACCCATGGAAGTGCTAACTACGCTCGGTGCTGCTTAAATCGGGTACATATTGCAAGTGCCTTAGACCGCACGGATACCACAGCCTCCGTATATATATATATATAAAACAAACTTTACTCTGGGACAAAGTTCCTTAAGAATAACAATTATAAACAAAAAACAAAAACCACATCTGGTCAAAAATTACATTAATCAAAACTAAAATAATATTTGCAATATCTTCAGTGAATATATATGTAAAAAAAAGTAGTACCATTTTGGAAAAAAAAAGAAACATTATTGAAATAAAAATAAAAACAGAAATCAGGAAAAAAACAATAAAATGTTATAAATAATATGAGTTTATTCTTAAAATTAAAACTCAAACGATTCAACAACAATTCATTTCAATCAAAGATTTGATTCATAATATTTATTTCATTGTACAGAGACATTTTGAGGTGTGAGAAGGAATTGGTAGAGATGATATTTGAATGAGGACATGGAAGAGGCATGGCGGATAGTAAGATGACAAGGAATTCCAGAAGGCAGTGGATCGGGCAATAAAGGAATATTCAAATGTCTTAGTTCCGTGGGAAGGGGTATTTATGTCGAATACACGGCATCTTGTTTCCTTGAAGTGGACTACAATTTTGAACTGCAGGCGATTGTAGATGTAGGTTTGGTGTCGGGTGTTGATCGTTTGGAGTACTTAAGATCAAAGGAAATATTTTCGGCGGGAAGAGTTGTAACTCGTTGTAAAGTTGGAACACATGATAATACCTCGAAGTACAGAAGACAAATCTTAAGAAGGAGTTCGTTCATAAGTCGCTTCAATCTATCCTGGAGTACCATTGGGATGCCTCAACAACAGCCACAGTCACAGAGGGGGGAAATAAGAAAGGATACAATGATCTTGGTGAGGAGTTTTGGGAGTAGGTGATGAGAGCGATGAAATAACTAAAGAGTACCTATTGACTTTCGGAAGATGAGAGCGATATGGATTTTCCAGGAAATGTTTTTGTCAATGACGATTTCTAGGTTTTAACGGATGAGCTGAATGTGATGGAAGAATCGTTGATGAATATAGGCGAAAGAAAGAGATTCATTTAAGAAGAGACCTGGAACCTATAACATTGGCTTGAGTTTCCATCGCGTTTAGCTTTAAATTATTCAGACTTGCCCAGGCACTGATCCTATTTACGTCTGCCTGAGTACTGACTAATAGCTCAGAAGGGTGAAAGGATAAATAGATTTGGGAGTCATAAGCGTACAAATGGAGTACACAGTGGTAGATGGATTTAGGAAGATTATTTATATAGGAATCAAAAATGAGAGAGGAAATGCTCGAAGCCTGAGCCACTCAAGAGGACAGCCTAAGAAAGGAAGATATGAGTTTGTTCGAAATTCTAACTGCTTGGGTCCGGTCGGAAAGGAAAGACTGAAACCAAAGAAGAGCTGTTGGAGAAAGACAGATATTTTAATTTAGTGTAGAGTACAGAGTGGTCTAAGGAGTCAAAAGCTTTGGCAAAAAAATCAAGAATCCAAGAATATATTCTATACTCCTAACCAAAATAGTCGGATAATAGGTTTTTTCCCCAAAACCGCCATTTTAAACTTAATTTCGATGTTTCCGAGCCAAACAACCGATTATATCATACGGAACTCCACCTAATAGCATTGTTGTAGATAATAATATAATTTTTAATTGAATGAACTCTAACCTTATTAGTGAGAAAGTTATCAGGAAAATATTAAAATATGAAAGTTTTCAGAAAAACCCGTTAGTTTTAAAAACACTAACTTTTAAAATATAATTATAAAAAAAAACAATAAAAAGAACATTTTACAAAATGAAACATATTACACTCGAATACTGGTAATATGTATATTATACATAGTTCAGCAAATGTCCAACTTTCTAAAAGCACTTTTTCCCACCTCTTTTTCGTTTTTTTGGGATGATTTCTCTAACGATGTTAGTGTTACTTAGTCCATGCTGGAATAAATTAAGACTTGGTCTTTTAGGAAATAAGGATAGTTTCTGAACCTCTTTCTGAAGCCAAGAAGTGTTTCCCAAATAAAATTGGTTGCGATCCCTTCGCGCTTATTTTAAATTATTATTAAAATTAAGACAAAATATCCTAATAATTTTCGCAATTCTTTTTTTACATTCGTCACTCGAGTTTTACACATTCAGCAATGAATCCATGATCAACTATTTGTGATAAAAACATATTTATGACATCTGAACGTGAGTTATGATGGCTCGGTCAATTGAAAAAATAATAATACAAATAAAGTGGCACTCTGAAGCAAATAAACTATAATGAAAATTAAAGTGTATACTCAATGCTAGAAGAATATGCAAAAAGTACAATATTATATTAAATGAATTTTTTAAAAACGTGTTATAGTTTTAATGTAACGTATTAGAATGCTTTCATGTTTACTACATAAAGGAGAAACCTCAACGAATGCGTTAGCAAATCTTGGTTAAAATTAATTAAATAAATCAGCCCTCGAAAAAAATAAAATAAAATGATTTAGATTATTATGATTTAGTATTATTTAAAAGGTCCTAAATGATACCCAGGCATATTCAAGCAAATTATGTGAAGAGGTGATGGAAGACTTCAAGAACTTCGGAAAAGTTTATACAAACTAATGTCTGATTTTACGCAGACAAACATGAAATTTAAGCTTTATGTTTTTATAAGCAGCCCACGTTTTCTCTTTGGAAGAAAGCGATAACACACACACACAAAAATTTATATTAACGCTGAAGATTTTAAAATAGCAAACAGAAAATACAAAAGTCGTAATTGTAACAGATTCCCTTTCGGTATGGAATTCACTCAAAAACAGATTTCGACAGCATATTTCATCCTACCTAATAAATAGCATAATACAAGAAGTTCAACAAATAACAAATTTAAGGTCCAGTGGGTTCCAGGTAATATCGGTTTGTATGGGAATGAACGAGCTGATATAATAGCAAAATGGGATTCTGGAAGAGCAAAAAATGAAAAATTACCTTTGCAGAACATTTTTGGTGGATAAAAAAAAATGTCATTAGTGAACAGCAGGATAGATAGTCCTGAGATTCAAGTTCGAAAGGCAAAGAACATTACACTATGAAACCTAACGTCGTCCTACGCCCATGGTTCTCCAACACTTATGTTAAGTTAAATAGAAAAGAAATTCATACTTACATGGTTAAGAATAAGCATGGACATACAAATCGCGGATTGACATTAATTAATGTTAATAAAAACGACAAATGTTGGAATGCCAATTCCATCACCTTTTACACATTATACTGAAATGCAGCAACTTTGATAAATTCCGGAATAAATACCCCCTCATCCAAAACCTTTTAAAAGGGACTTTTGAGCTTTGAAACAACGCTAAGTTGTTTTTTTTTTTCATTAAATCATAGATTATTAGCTATCTCCCTGCAGCTAGACTACAGTTACCCCACTTTTAGAAAACTTTCCTTGTTCAATAATATTTAAGTCCATGATAATTAAGTTGAGGTTCGTTCAGAAATAAATTAAATTCACTGGCATTTTTTTAGATACTTTACTTTTTTTTCTATTATAATCCATGTATTCCAAAAAAAATCAAGTATGAAGATACACTTTTTTATTAATACGTATGTTAAAAAAATACTGCATTTTCAAATATCCATCATCTAAATGATTGTTTTTTTACAAAGATCTTAATTATGGGAAATGATTATTATTGTATTAAGTGGCCAAATAATTGTTTTTAATATTTTAGTTTCCATAAAAGTTAATCTTGCAATAGTAATATTTTAATTTATTTTTAGAAATCTTAATTTACAATATTGAGTTAATATTTTGAACTGGTATTGATGGACTGCTTGTGGAATGAGGATTTTCATTTGTCCAATTATGGATATCTCTGAAATAAAATATTACTTCAAATATTCTTAAATATCAATATAAATATTCTTTGTAAAAAAAATATTCTTGCGGAAGTAGAGTTTTCCTCCATTAATTTTTCAAGATACTTCAATATTCCATCCAAATTTAGAGGTTGTAAACAATGGATTTATTCCAAAAGTTGGGAATCTGTATTCGAACTGGACGGTGATTAAACAAAAAACGGTTCACTCGCGATTGGTAAATTCTAAATTACGACTTGAAACAACTTGTTGTTAGGTTATCTAATAACAAATACTTTATCTACCTTTGGAACTCCTTCCTATCATATACAGCCAGACATTTCCAAAATATGGCAGTCCTCTCGGTCCGGGCAATGTGGATGGCTTTCGGTAAAAGCTGGCGAGGACCAGGAGGAGCACACAGATCAAACCCAAAGTGATAGACATCATCATCCACTTCAAATCCTTACCCAATTATTTAGCCATATATACTTCCTACTCCCCACCACAGTGCATTAATAATTAATCAATAAATTATATGGTAATCAGGCATTTTATAATTACCATTATGTTCAGCTTAACTTTAGCTAAAGGTTTTTAATTTACAGGTTGGAATCTATAAATCCGTAATTTGCATTAATGAAATAGAATATTGAATTTGATAGGGGCATACATCACTAAAAATATATGAAAAACAATTAATTTTGAAACAGGTACAAAAAATTAATCATTCATTACGTACAATAATTTTAAAAATATACAAAAACAATAGTCCATAAGAAGGATATGACAAATAAATATAAGAGAGAGGTTGAGAAATCTGATAGTATTAGTATATAGTTCAATTTCGATGTCCAACAGAATTTGACAATGGAAAACGTCCATCTCAAATATTAGGATGAAATTTATTTTGATTCGACCTTATTTATCAAACGAAGGACCAAAGTTTCAACATGCATTGTAGGATAATAAGATGGATGAGATATAAAATATCGGATAAGTTAAACTGTTACATAAATAGAGTGCATTAAATAAATATCTTTGGCATATGTGTAAAGTGTGTTGAACGATAATGACCCTAGTGGTTGAAACCTTTAATTACAAAAAAAAAATGTGTGTTGAGTGTGATTTCGTGAATTTGTATGGGTATCAGTATGTCTTGGTTCAAGAAGAGGAAGCAGTTGCCGTTTTCTTCGATGTGCACAAAGCCTTTGATAAGACCAATAAATATTTAATTCTAAGAAAGCTCCATTCACTAGGATTTAGAGATAGACTTCCCAAATTTCTTTCTAATTCCTCTTTTCGCAATTCCATCGTTGTCCATGAAATGTAAACAGATGAGGGGAGTTACCACAAGGATGTATCCTAAGTACAACTCCATTCCCCTTGGCCATCAGTGACCTTGTATTAAATCTACCACCCGGAGTTAAAGTTATGCTATTTGTCGACGATTTTGCAATACTATACAGAGAAAATTATATCCCCTCTATTAAAAAGAAACTCCAAGTTGCACTATGTCGAATTGACAGTTGGTCTAAATCATCAGGATTGCAATTTTCCACCGACAAAACAAAATGTGTACACTTCAGCAGAAAACGAAAAACACTACAATCGCCTGATCTTTATATAGGAGATGTTAAACTACCATTCGCCGATAACTGTAGATTCTTGGGATTGTTGTTAGATAGGCATCTGTCTTGGGAACATAACATTAAGTCACTGAAAAAATTGCGCTAGAAAGCTTAAGATATTAACGGTAGTGGAACAAAGTGGGGAGCGGACAAGAATACAATGCTAAAAGTGTATGACGCATTAATAGGTTCTAAGGTAGATTATGGCAGTATTGTTTACGGCCCCGCTCGTAATAGTTGCCTTGCCACCTTATTACTAGCCTAGTAATAGTAGCCTTACTGCACCTCACTGGAATACGCCTTCAGGACTAGTCAAACCCTTAGTCTCTTCGCCGATTCAGGCCTGCCACCTCTCTTTTTCAGAATACAAAATATAAAGAACTATTCCATATGCAATTAGCTCTCTGCCAAAACACTTACTAATATTTACCGACGGTTCTAAATCGGACACATCAACAGCATCCGCCTTCTTCACTATGTTGCCTATGCACGATGTTACCTATAAATGTATACTACATCCACTTCGTTCCATATATACCGCTGAGACTAATGCCATCGCGATGGCTCTACGAAATGTGATAAATTCGCCAGTTGTAAATGTGGTTGTGGTATCAGATTGTTTTAAAGCTCTTAAAACCATGAACAACATGTATCCAGACCACCTAGGAATATATAGTATTTTGGGGCTCATAAAACAGCTAAGTAAATTGGAACATCAGTACATTTTTTATGGTCCCCTGGTCATGTCGGTATTGGTAGGAACGAAACGACTGAATGAGCAGCAAAATAAGCTCTTACCCTTACCTTAAATCCTTGTTAACTGCGTCCAAACTGGCGCGAAAGAGGCCATACACCAAGATTGGCAGACACTGTGAGACAACAGCTCTCCAAATCAATTAAAGGTAATAAAAAAGGAAGGACAGCCATGTATCAGTTCCAGTCGCAATAAACGTAGCTTGGAAGTTGTCCTAACAAAGAATATTTCATACCAGGTTTAGGCACCTTCACTTAATTATGAAAGAAAACTCGCCCATTTGTCAGAAATCTGGGGAGAGAATGACATTGGTCCATATTTTCGAGAGTTGTGCCTTTTACATCTGATAATTAAACATCAGAACATCATACACTGGCTGCTTTGGGAAATCTTGAGCAAAATCATATGTTTTCTCTCTGAAGAAGGAATATTAAAAAATCGCTGAACCTCTCACGCAGCACTCCCCACCTCTTTCTTTTTCCTTTTCTTTTTTTTTTTACCTAACGTGATCACTTTAAATAACTAAAGTTTAATAGCCGTAAACAACTTTAACCTTAACGTACATTTTACATCTTTTTAAATGTATCCAATTCTTAATATTTACAACCAGAAGATATAATAATATATAATTTTAATTAACGGGGTTGATGACCAACAGGTTTTACGCCTTTAATATACAACAACCAACCAACCAGAAAACTATTTTTTCTCTTTCCTTATGTTTAATGGTCTAAGTTATATGGCTATTACAGAGATGAACATTCTTCTGTGAATCGTGGGTTGAAACTCAAAAATCGAACTTGTTCCTGTTAAATTAATAAACCTTCGATTGTCTTTGATGATGGGTCAACAACCGGAAACGTTAGACTGAATGAAAAAAAATAAAGAATTTCTATGGAAGAGACGCTTTTCATTTATAAATACCTAGAACCATTTTAACTTTTTCTCTTAAAGAATTGATATATCAAATAATAAAAGAAGGAATACAATTTAATAAATGTGAATATATAAAGTTAAGGTAGTAATTATAGTCGAATAATAGGTCATGAACTACAGTTCAATTAATTAAAACAACCTCTGTTATTATTTTTATCCAAAACGTTTCTATCCCTGTTTTTAAAATAAATAATAGGATCCCCTTCAGTTCTGGAAAAACAATACCCATCGTTGGTATAACAATTAAAAGTTTTCATACATTTTAATAATAATCCTAAATTTATCTTATTTGCTTTAAATTGAGCTTCGACACCCTAAGTATCAACACCGGCAGCGCGCCTTAACATCAGTACCTCAACAATGACTCAGACTACTGAGGACCGCAACGCGCATCCCGTAGCTCAAGAATAATACCGATACCAACAAATATAATGTATATAACAATCTCTGGTTGTGTAATAAAATATTGAAATTGTCAACAATAGTAAATTAAAACAAACATATGTATTCTAAACTGATGTCATATTGCAAAAATTTAAACCAGATAACAATAAAATAAAAAAATTTAAAATCGTGATATTTCTACTAATATTGCTTTGATTTTGATGAAACCCCTTTCATTTTTTAGGAAATTTAAATACCTTTGAAACACAATATCACAATATCGACAAAAAAGTGTATACTTTTTGATTTATTTGGAATTTAATTTTACCATCCCTCGTAACTTTTTTTTTCAGCTTCTTTTCGTATATTAGTATATTATATAAATAAATTTAAAGGATGTCGAGAAAATGACTTTAGAGAAGTTTCATTGAAATCGGTACAGTCTATAGCAACGCAGGTATTTCTGCATTTTTCTCCTTTATTAACTTATTACTTAGCATTTTTTCGTAACCTTAATTAACTTTTTAAAATAAACCATATTAAAGCTACTTTAGAGGAAGACGTATATGAACATTGGGAATTTAAGCCCTGTAAAGTGACATCAATGGGGATAAATCCTAATTGATATTAAATACCACTTAATTATACAATGATACACCGAGTTTAATCAAAATCGTTGAAGCAGTTTTTGAGAAAATGTGTTTCAGCGTTGATATAAAGTGGCACTTCCGGTTAGCCGATTTTAAGGAAAAAGTTGCTGTCACATCTAAGGTATATACCTATGTTAAATACGTAATATCAGTTTCGTAGGACCTTTCGTTTATGAGCTAGACTGCTAACATACAAACACACAGACACACGGACTTTTTTTCGGGACTTGGTTATTTGGACTCAGGGTACCCAAAAACGTGTATTTCCGTTGAAAACTCAGATTCAAAAATTTTAATACTTACCCTTACTATATATTACATATATACGTTAATGAAAGTAATATATACAGCCAGTCATTACATACAATAATGTAACAATCTCTGGTTGTAATTAAAACATTAATAAGTAAAGGAAAAACAGCTTCTTCTCAAATTTCCACCGTGTAAGCAAAGTGGGTTCAATTTTTTTTTTTTAATTATACAATGAATTCACATGTTTATTGGTTTGTCGGTAAAATAATGCAAGGTTTTGATTTTTATTTAAAATACTCCTCTACATAATAAACTGTTTACGTTTATTGGATTATTCATTTGTATGCTTGTCAACACTTATTGATCCTCTTCGCAACAATAATGCTTGTTTACCTCTGTAGCATTTCGTTGCCTAGAAATAATTCAGTCTTTACTAAGAATGATTATCGTATAATTTTGTTTTACAAGTTTAAAATCGGACGGAATGAGGATCAGGCGGCTAGAAACATCATTCAAGTCTGGAGCGAGAGCAGTAAATATTTAGTAAAAACCACAATGGTGTTTCAAAAAATTTTGGGAGGGAGACTTCAGCCTTGAAGACAAAGAAGGTAGCGGAAGGATTTCCTCTTTGATGACGATGTTCTGCGGGCTTTTGTGGAAGAAAACCCCACAACAACTGTTCGAGAACTTACAGGAAAACTTAGCTTTAGTAAATTGACCTTCGATGAACCACCTCAAGGCAATTGGAAAGGTAAAAAAGCTTGCAAGTTGGGTTCCACACACATTAAACAACCACTAAAAAACCCAACTTTATGAAGTTTGTGCTACACTTCTTTGTCGAAA